CATTAACAATGGATAAATACAAATCGAAAATATTCAACCTGAATCCACGTCAGTACATATGGAGCAACGACAACGAATTGCAATGTGCACGAGTATTGAAAAGCATGGTAGATTATATAATTGGAGATGTGGAAGTGCTATCCTTCACATCAAATCAACCCGTTTTGTTAGGGAATATCCAATGCTCAATTACTAAAGGTGTGCAAAGTCTGAATGGTTCTTATGTAGAAGTTGACATCGCCCAAGTAGAAGATGGGACTTTTCGTATTTCAAAACTTCTTTACAGCGGAGGATTTAGAGTATAGCAGCAAGATGATATATATGCGCCTCAACATGATAACCAAATGGTTTTAGAAAAACCCATTTTCATCAAACCTCGTACAATGTACGAAATTCGCACGACTATTAGTGTTAGTCCAAATGGTTGGTGCGATCAATTATGGTTGCCAAGGGTGGACCTTGATAATGGGCTGAAAATCACTTTCCATCGAAATCCAAATTTGAACTATAACAACTCCATTTATGGCTGGATTTCTTCATTGGGATTGAACAGGATTTAAACGAGACATTGTGTAGCCTAAACTGAAAGAAAAACAAATGAGTGGCAAATGAACGTCCAACAATTTTGGACCAAAACTATTTTTAAACTCAATTCTCTTTTCATTAAATTGTAACCGAACTTTCGCATTTCAATTAAACTCAATATCTCTTAAATTCCTTATTTTGTTTTCTTTGATAATTTTTTTAATTTACAGCAATGCTTCTGTGCGAAACAAGGAGTGAACAACTTTCACCCTAATTAAGTAATTTTCAATTATTTTGAGAATACAAACAAATTTTCGGGTAGGATAAGAAATCTACAAGGAACAATCTCGACATATTTTGAAAAAATACATATTTCAATTTGTACTCGTATTTATATAGCTAGAATTGACTCAAATCTAACCGCTCCTTTGCTACAGCTTGCTGATGATTTCATTGAATTTTTCCGCTGCAACTTTCTTCAACTGTTCGCTCTCTTGCGGTTGCATCAACCATCCCTCGGAAAATGCTCTCTTCATTCTGCAGCAATTTATACGGGATATCGAATTCTTCGGCACTGCCCGCATCCATGACTAAAACACGGTTGGAATCAATGATGGTGTGCAATCGATGAGCCACCGTTAGAACGGTAAAATGTTCGAATTTCTCGTGAATCGTTCTCTGAATGAGTACATAGGTTTTTGGATCCACATTGTCTGTGACTTCATCGAGTACCAGCACTTTGTTATTTCTCAAAATTGGCCCGAGCCAAGCATATCAATTGCCGTTGGCCTTGGCTGAAATTGGTTCCGCCTTCGGTAACCTGGATATAATTTCAAAAATCAAAATTTTTTTCAAGGAGAAATGCATTAGCTCATTGAAAATGAGAAAAAAAACCTACTAAATAGTCCAAGCTATCAATCATTGATTCCAATTCAACGTCCTCTAGTGATCTCCAAATGGCATCATCGCTGTAATGGCCAAATGGATCCAAATTATAGCGAACTGTGTTCGAAAACAAGACTGGATCCTGTGGAATGATCGAGATTTTCTCTCTTAAGCTGCTAAATGCAATCGTCCCACTGTTGACGTCGTCGATTTAAATGATTCCATCGATTCAATACAAACGAAAGAGAGCTCCTATGAGAGTCGATTTTCTAGCACCAGTTCTACCAACATGCATCACACAAAATGTTATGCGCATATCCTTTTGAGATTCAATGCAATCCAAATCACTCGCCCACAACTCCAATTTTGAGTCCAGATTCAATTTCTAAGCGAAGGTTTTTCAACGTTGGCGCACCTTGTGGATCATATCGCAATGACGCATTGTGCATTTTTATTTTACCTGTTCTTGGCCAATCGGATGGTGGTTTTTCATCCGGACTTTGTTCCTATGTAAAATATTGAAATTTCAAGGAAATTTTCAGCAAATAAATGTTGAGCATTCAGAAATGCATCCTACCGCGATGATTCACAGCTGTTCAAGAAAGCGAATCGGTTAGTCTCAAAACCATCATCGCTTAGCGATGCCATTAAACCGGTTGTGCAAATGTGCTATTTAGGTAAATATTTAAGCATCGATTGATGAATCGCAAACACATTTTATCGTGATTTATGATTTGGCTTCTATTGTGACTGGTTGATAAACAAGCATCTAACACAATTTGGATTGATTGACATTGATAAAAATCCGTGAAGTGTAAAAAAAAATTGAACATTATGAACAAAAACGCGGAAAACTTTAAACGACATAGTTGTGTGGACGATAAATATGTGGCGTCTGAATGAAATTCAATATGAATATTTAAAGTCATATAGATCCCATACCTGATACCGTGTAGACGATCTTCTTTTTGATCTTCTGTTGAAATTGGATTGTGTCATTTGCCGTCATCTGAGCTGCCATAATGCCATAATCAAAATAAAAATCAAAACAAACAAACAGGCAATTCGGAAGACTAGAAAGATGTCACATTTATTGTCCTACAATCTACATTCATTATCGAAAATAAATAACATATTGTATTTTGACATCAAGACTGGCTTAAAATTAATCATTAAATTCTTGAATTAAAACCAAATTTTAGATATGGACCAAGAATATTTTCCAAGTACTGATGTCTAACGTGTGTCTTTCTTCAGTAAAGGAAGAGAGTTAGGATCATCGGCGTGAGCAATTAACCACCGTGTGGTACTTTGAAAGGAATTTGGCACTTCAAAAGTAGCTTGAAAGCAGTAGATTTAAATAATGTTTATAGTTAGATTCTTCACAGCACCACTATTGTGGTTTTAACTTGGATTCCTATCCATTCTTTGTACTGTCACGAACGTTAGATTTGACATTGGAATACTCGCACCATTTCGTCGTATATGATCCGTTGACTTTTTGATGAATTCGTAGCTGAAGATGCAGAGGCAATAAGGAAACACCAGCAGCGGCGCGTATACTGTGGGACTTTTGAGAGTTAGTTTATTATCACCGGTATACACGGAATAAGTAAAGCAAACCCCGAGAAAAAAATACCAAATTAATCCAACCAACATGCAAACCGGGCGATACTGTTTGAAGAAAGGACAGACATGATTTATATTACAATTTTTAAGTTTACTCCTTTAGCAATTTGTTCAAAAATGACTTGATACACTTACGAAAGTTACACCATACAAGAAACACACTATGGCCCAGAAATTAGTCACTGTAAGATAAAAAAAAAACATTTTTTAGTTAAATCGAAAAATTTTCACGACCAACGTTTATTTACACATCTAAAGTAATTGTTGGAATTTAATTAAGTTTACCGCATTCATGAATTCCTATTTGTTTCTATTAAAATACGAAGAAAACACTTACATCCAAATGATATCTTGACGATGAATTCATATTTTGATGGTCGTTCATAATGAAAATGATCTTCGAAATCATTCTCTGCGAGCCAAAATTTCGAATTCAATATAGACAGAAGTGCAATATAACTAGCCACGAATGTTGCCCAACCCACGATGATTCCAATCAATCGCCATTTTTCCCATCCGATGCATCGAGTATAGTAGCTGTTATCAGTTGCCATTCCCACTTGATAGCAAACTGTTATGGAAAAACATGATTTTAAGATTTAGTTTCGAAGGTAATGACTTCAAATTGGTTTTTTTTTCAAAATGTTGTGCAAATCAGTCGATTTTTCGTTCAATGAAGCTTTTGAATCGATCAAAGAGTTGATATTCTTAAACTTCATATGTTTCGATACAATTCAAATGGTTTTTTTTATCAAGAAATTTTTTATACACTAACATTAAAGAAGAGCATATTCTTCTGATAGATTCCGTGATTTAAAAAAAAACTGAAGTTCAGAAAAATCGAAGAGATTCACTTTTCTTTCGATATGAATAGCGAACAGATTCTATAAAAATGAACAAACATATATTCCGAAAAATGAATGAAATACTAATTATTCCAAAATCGGTCAATCAATTCGTTATCGCTTGGAATTCCCCGTAAATTCCCAAACAAACATATTTCACGCAATGAGCTTGCGGTCGCACAAAGAGACACAAAAAACATCGACTGATAAACGCGAGAGTCGTATGTTTGACATTCTGAATTTCAATAGTACGCATGCGTTCGATTTGTTTATATTCTATTTTCTCCTCTTGATGTTGTGTATAGTTTGACAGTATGTACAGTATAAAATAGCAAAAGCACAAAAAATGTACAGCAAACCATGAAAATGGTTTCAGATGTAAATGCGCCAATTTTTAATGATTCACAGCTTTTCAGAAGGCGAATAATCGATTTTATTCACAGAAATCGAAGAAGAATAACGGCCAAAGTCGAAGTGATACCTTCGTTTTAAGTAAATTCTTCGAAATCGTTGAGAGTGTTGATTTGTCAATAATCATGTTTTCGTCGGAAAACTTCAGTGTTCCCACAAAAAAATGGATTTTTTATGCTCTCCTTCATTCAACTCACTTTTTTTTTTTAAATTGAATCAAGTCAGAATATGTTTTAGAAACTATTTAGTAGATTTTTATGGCGAAAATTTAGGAATTATTTAGTTACTAGACCTACCAAAATCACAATAATCACAAAAACGGAGCAAAACACAGTTTTCACGTCAACAGCTGACGCCATACTGCGCTGATGTTTGGATACAAGGGGGTCAATGCCAAATTTGACATTGAGTTCGGTCACGTGTATTGGTATACATGTTTTGGAGAAGCGAAACAACACACCGGCAGACGAACATGCGTAGTGCAAAGGAGGGATACATACCAATTCCACTAATTTTGATTGAAAAACCTTTGAAGTGTGATCAATACCAGTTAATTTTTTGCCTAATATCGTCTTATATCCGTCGAACTATTGCGATTTGTCATAACTTTTTTTTTATCTCGTTGACATTTGAACTGAAGATGAATTTTGATGTCGGTGATGATTAAATTATCATTTTTACTTTTCCGCACACGAAGTGTGTGAGAAAAGTATAGCGATCGACGTGATAAAAAGTGTGCTAATTTTTGTTGTGTCCACGATAACTTTCGAACCGCTTAAGCGATTTCGCTCAAATTTGGCCAGGAGTCACTATTAGTAAATACCTTGGATGTATCAAAAGTTGGGCCAAATTGGACTAGTTCATCTGGTAATTTTCGGATGTCATAGAATTTCACCCTTGGATTTTTTTGAAAAAATTTTTTTTTTTTCTTGTTATCATAGAACGGATTTTTGATTTGTTTTAACACGATTTTATCATGTTAATCCGTGTTAAATGATTTATAACACGATGGCCGACCATGATTGACTTTTTTTAAATTTTTTTTTGAATACTTGTGCGGAAAAGTCCGTTTTACGCTCGTAAAACTTTTTATTTGTCCATTTTACACAACCAAACCATAATAAAACAAAACAAAACAACGCAATTCAAATCGAAATGAAAGACGAATTTGACTTTTGAAAAATATTTATTATTGCTTATTGTGATTCACAATTTGTGAAACGTAATTTGATTTTTGTTTTTTTGTTTTTTTGTTTTTTTAAAACATTGAGTTAGATTTTTGAATCACAGTGTCATTTTTAATGCATTTTCTTCAATAAATATACTGAAAATTCACCAATAGCATAAAATACTGGTTACTATTTGATTTTTAAACATTTGTCGGTTATTCTTAAGCTATATAATTGACTTAATTCATTTTGATTGCATTTTATTGCTAAAAATGTTAATAAATACTAAGTCATGAATATGTCATTTCCTTAAGTATGTAAGAAATGTCTTAAAAACATAAATCATCGATTGAAACGTTGGGCAAAAAGACGGATTCTCAAATCTTGATATATGTGTCGAAATGAGTTCGGAAAGACAGTTTTTTACTGTACATTTTATGTAGATTCATTGACTTCAAAAATGTTATGGAGAAAGTTTCCTCCGAGGTTTTTGAGTGCAGAATGCAGATACAACCTTTAGCAAAGTGTAAAAAACCATGTAAAATAAATATATATTTACAACATAGATTTATGTAGAAAAAATGTAAAGAAATTCGCTTTAATCTTCAACAATTCATGCACAAAACAATTACACAGAAAAGATGTTACTTCCAAATTCTAGCTATAAATATGCTTGGTCTCTCCATCAAGGCAAACACCATGGTAAACATCATGTCGGTCGGATTGCTTGTGCATAAGTGGGTAGACTATTTACCTCTACCCTATCAACTACAACGTATGACAGATTCGAAAGTGGACTATTTGCATTGATTCGAATGTGCTTCGTGGCCAATTTCACGTGTTTGTAACTGAGGACAGCAAACACGTAAACAATGAGGAGAAGTACAATGAATATTGTAATGGCAATGTCAATATGCGGAGTTATTGAATATATGAGGCAGCACATTAGAAATCCATACCAAATCAGCCCAATTAGCGCACAAACCGGTTTATACTGCGGAAAAGATAAAATACACACGATTAGCAAAATCGTTTGATATTAATTAATTTTTTATAATGTGTAACTTTGTAACTGTCCGACAAATATTGTCGTCTGCTGTTGTTACCGTTACATGAAACGTACATTGTACAATGTAGATTAAATGTAAAAGGTACTAACTTCGTTTTTTTTTCTTCCTCGGGGTTCAAATATTTGGATTTTTTAATTCCAAAACAGATGAGAGAGGTGAACTTTCTTGTTTTTTTTTACTCTCTTTCATAAAAAATTTATATTCAAATGAGAAACATAATTCGTTGAATCCATATCTACTTACGAGGATAACGCCATATAGAAAGCAACAAATCGCCCAAAAGTTTACCACTGAAACAAAAAAAAAGAATAGCTTATTATATACATTTTCGAGATTTAAAAACAAACTCTCCAATAATGAAAAAGATAAAAGGAAAAGTAATGAAAAGGAAGAGAAAACGTATCGCAAAATTGAAACCGATTAAAAAAATGAAAATAGGAATTGATGTGGGTGATTTTTTTTGCGTTGAAATAGAAAGCAACTCACCAAGTAACAAGAACACTTGAAAATCTGAAGCATTGTAAAATCCAAGAGCACTTACGTGCAACAAAAGTGTCAACAGGATGAAATTCAGGATGAAGACCAACCATCCAATTAGGATGCCGCAATATCTTAATCCTCTCTGTTGAAAAAAGCTTTTTTTGATTGGCATTTTCACTATCACTCGCAGGTAACTATGGAAAAACGAAAAGCAGAATTCTGTTGAATAAAAATGAACCAAATTGATTTTTAATGCAAACAATTTTCATTTTTTCCGCCAGGTAATTTGATTTTACTGAATTTCGACTATTCATTGTGGAAAAAAATAAATTTTTCATAAGAAATTTTTACAAAATCTGTAAAGCACATCTGAGTTTCAAAATGAGCAAAGAAATCTTTAGGGAGAAGCATCGATTCTTTGAAACGCTGCGAACAAATTTCAAAAATACGATATCGCGCATTGAATGAGAGGGGAAACGAAATCAGATGTTGGAACTGACACCTAGGGGATTCATGTATGTATGATACATTTCAAATATTTTGTATTATTTCCCGAATGCGTTGTTATTGTTCATATTCACCTTGAACAATATGTTCTGGAAGTGGGTTTTGGTGGATCCTCAGGATCGTTCAAAACTGCTCCCGGTTCTGGAAGTGGGTTTTGGTGGATCTTCAGGATGGATCAGACTGGGTTTGACAATGCCCTGGCCCATCCTGAGGATCCACTTCCAGAACCAGGAGCGGTTTTGAACAATCCACAGGATCCACCAAAATCCATTTCCAAAATTTTTGAAGCGATAATGACGACAAGAGATTGGACATGGTTCTGCTGACAGTCGGTTTATTGAACAAAATTGAGCAAAATTGAAATTATGCATACATATCTGTTTAATATGTTGAAACATAAACAAATTCATATTATTTGTTCATATTTTAAATATGGAAATTGGCGTGAGGCCCCTAGACTGACACGCAACACACATTCGACCGATAACCGTTTCAATGCGGTACGTGTGCTAATGACATTAGCGTTATACATGTATCCACTTCATCAGCCCACACAAGCGTTACAATGTGCTTTGACTGCGATCCGCAATAACAAACGTTCAAAAAGCCACAGAATCAGATATTGTGAAAAAAATGCGCAGATCCAAATGAATCATTGTATGAAAAAAGAACAAACGCCTTTCTTATTAAAAGATTTACACATTTTTTAATTGAGATCTTTGCTTTCAATTCACGGAAACCTTCATTCATTTTGCAAAATTAAAACTTTTAATCGAATAAGAATCATATTTTAATCAAAAACGAAATGCAATTAAAAAAAAACAAAAAGAATAAAATGCAATTGTCGCGCACTTTCAAAAAAAATACAAACGACGATTCCCATTGAAATTTTAAAGTCTATATAGATAAGATTCTAAAGCCATTATAAATACGACAATTCCAATTCTTATACAATTCAACTCTGTTCAAATTTTAAAATGAAGAAATTACATTCGCTTCTGAGCTAACACACATTTTCAAAACTGAATTTCTTGTTTCTATTTTTACCTCTCGATTTTACAGAGTAAAGAACTGAGTTAAGCAATAACTCATGCAATAACTACTGACTATATTGCACGAAGTGCTGTTCTCGCACCAACAGCTGACAGTAAACTGCGCTAGCGACGCGATAACTTACCGCGCGGCCAGACACAAATTGGATGCGGTCATGCAAGTGTGTTGGTGAATTCGATATAAGCGCTCATGATTAAAAGACGAAAGACGGCGTCGTATGATCATAGGCTAATGCCACAGTGAGACACTGAGACAACATCACGAAAACGCGTAATTATGACTCATACACTCGATTGTTTGGATCAATTGAAACCAAAGGTCCAAAGTGCAAAGCGGTTGTTGTTATATACAACAACGTGATTGTTGCTGTTGTAGTTGTGGTTTTTGTTGAATACAACAGTATTCAAGTGGGAAAAAAACGTTGAAGTTCATTTGATTCTGTTGATGCGGCTGTAATTGGCTTCGATTGAATATGGGATATATATATTGAATTCAAATCGAATTGACTCTTCTAGACAATCAATTATTTTTGGATTTTCTTCGAATTTTTTTCTTCTATTGTTAGACTTTCACTTTTGAAGCGTAGAAACGAATTACATTCTAAAAATATAACAGAGTCCTAGATAAACTGAATGAAAACCTTGAGAAAGAGATAAAAATTAAAGTCAAAAATGACGGGAAAATCTAATTCCATAGATGAATATTCAAATCTTGGACAATTTGCCGAAATGACTTCGGGTAGGGCGATTTCAATTGTAGATTTTATGTAGTTTAATGTAGTGTTTTTACTTTTTTTTTAATGTAGGAACAATTTTTTTGAGTAATCGGCTATCGAAAAACTGCTATAAAATGGAACAACTCAAATCTTGGTCAAAAAACGCATTTTCCACAAATCGAATTTTTTTTCGAATGAAGAATGGTTCCAAAAAATTGTAGATAAATTGTAGAATTAAAATCAATTATCTGTTTTCGAATATGTCAGCCCATTCATTCGATATTGAGACGAGTCATGAAAATTGGTCCAAAATTGAAAAACTCAAATCTTGGCCACAAATTGAAATTTCCAAAAACTGAATCTTCCTCTTTTGATGCTAGGTTCCATAAAATTGTAGACAAAATGTAAAATTCAAATCAGTCATCCGATCCTTGATGTTTTCAACAACTTATTTGGCTCCAGGGGAGTTTAATATTTAATATGGGAATAAAACTGCTATAGACGGCTATAAAACGTGTTTTAAATTTAAAAAAACTTTTAATAATTGAAGTAACCAAGAATTAATTGTAGTGGCCCGAAAATAATTGTAGAAGCACCTACAGTTATTTTAGTATTGTAATCAATTTTCGACCACTATAATAACTTTAGGTGCTTCTACAATTTTCCGACCACATTCCGACCACATTCGAATTTCAAACAATTGAATGAGATAATGGCATTTCCGTTTAAATTTAAATCATTTTCCAATAACGAAACAATGAGATAGATCATTTTCTAAGAACAAATCCCAAAAAACGTCGAAATCAACATAGGGCAGTTACAAACCTTTAGAGAAAAAAAATTACTTCATTTGGCCCACATCGATGAACATTGAACATGAACATCGTGGGTTGTTTGCAAAAGGCTTAGGCCTACGCGACGGATCTTTATAGATTCCCCACTTTAATCCATACAATTCAATCCAATCCATACGAACCTTTTATTTAAACCCATTTTTATATGTAGGATGATCATAAAGGAATTTCATTGATTTGCCTATAAAATCGACGGTGCTGACGTCGTTTTTGTTCTGATTTCTATCGTTTTTGGCTTTAGTTGTCACTCGATGCATTTACTAGTCGCCAATCCCAACTGCGCACTACTCAATGAACTTACAATCAGTTGGCCGTATTCCAATTGCAAATTGCATCGTCGCATTTGCTGCGTAAAATTAACATTAGTAATAATAAAGAGATCATTTAGAAAAAAAAATGGAATAAAAATCGCATATTTATTGTGCTTTGATTCAAATTACGTATCTTAATCTGTTATTTGTACTGAGTGTCATTAATTTCTGTGAAAACCTAAGTATTTGTATTTGAATGTGTTGTCATTCAACAAACGAAATATATCAAACGTCCCCTAAAATCGGGGACCTTTTTAAAGGCACAACTACAAATATTCGTGATTATAAATTTATCTAATTCAATGTATTATCGTCAAAACGCTAATCAAGCTCATAAATTGTCAAATATTCCAGTATACGAAATGAATCTCACTTCAAAGATATGTATTATTCAGAACTACTTAAAATGTTGCTCAAAAATATCGGTAAATTGTGATACAAAATGTGTATTTTCAAACTTCTGAATTAGAATGTTAAACATTTGGATAAATCGTGCAAAAATGGTGTATATCAAGCGATTGTTTTGATCATAATGGTTTCGATTTGTCCATTCGATACGTCATATATTGGACTTGATAGTCGTTCAGTTGTCAGACTTCCGGGAATGTGTGAGATGGACCGCTTAATAGATATAAAACCTAACACAGCCAATATGAATAGACATACAAAAGCCACTGAAGTTGCTGCCAAATATAATAGTCTAACTCGCATGAAGAATAACGAGATGATGCAAATAATGGCTTCCAGTCCATAGCATATAAGTGAGACCAGCATGAATGCAGGTTTGTATTGTTGAGAGCCATATAGCCAGCTAAGATTTACAGAAAAAATTATAACTGCAAAAGAATTGGAAAATATCAGTTTAATTATTCAAAATAATTCATTTTCTTGAATCAAAAAAGCTCAAAAATATTTCAATGAAAATATTCATCAATGACTGTTCAAACAAAAACTTACTACAAAACGTAATGGTGTAAAGCAGTTCAAGTGCAGTTCCAACGGAATTCTTATTCATGAGGACAATCAGAAAAATGAATGCAACAAAATTTAAAGCAAACACAAGCCAACCAATGAACAGGCTAATTATTCTCCACCGTCGCAGTCCAATACACCCCGGATCCATTATTCGCTATTAAACTGATTGCTTGTCAATCTAGAAAGTGAACATTCAAAACATAATGAAGTTAATGCACGAAATGTCGTATTTTCTCACAGGCAGTTGAAACTTCACGAATTGTCCATGATAAACTGAGGACACAATTTTTTGTACAGAAAATAGGAAATCCATTTTCCTTGACACAAAATTTGGAAATCAGTAATTTTTTTTTCAACAAAATGGAAATCAATTTCTTTCACTAAACAACTGAAACTATTGAAATGTTCCACTGAAAAATGAAACGTGGATCATTGTTTATTCATAAAATCCGGCACTTGTCAACGGAAATGGTTCTATGCCGAAATTGAAACTATTTTACAAAAAAACCTCGAACATTTCCTTACATATTGGAATAAATTCTATCTATTTTCCTTTTATATTGTTCTATCATTTTCAAATTATATGTTTCATTTTTTGATTCCGTATTCAAAATATTCATATATATCAAAGTCTCTAAATTGTGTCCATTCAATGGAAAAAAAGCTCGATAACTTCGTTGACAGTTCGAAGAAAGGAAAAAATATGTCCGAGTTGGAAATCACAATTACGTATCAAAAACCAAATATACATGTAACTAATGATGAAGAGAAACAGCGGGAGAGAGAGAGAGTTCCCGAGAGCCTAGCGTGCGTTAGCGCCAAGCCATATTTTATCGGATTAAATGTGTGTGCTTTAGTTTATGCATTCTCACACCATTGGATATTTAATCGATGGAATCGATTTTTGTAAACGAACAAACACGTACATTCCGCTTGGTTTGGAAAAACTCGAGAAAAATTGGGCATTTTTGTTTCGCATTCATTTAGAAAATGGTTTTTATTCGAAAAAAAAACAAACTTGAATTTGACACTTCACAATTTTGTTTTCCTTCTGGAATGATAGATTATCGTTGTGTAAGTAAAACTTAACTGCTAATTACTAAAATAAATTACAGTATGTAACTGATCCTTAATTGGCAGCCAAGCCTAGGTGTGAGTCCTTGAAAATAACATTTTTATACATTACTTTCTTGCAATAACTATAACGACGTCGCTTTCGAATGACTTTCACTAAATGAATTTTAAAATGTGGAGGAATTTTCACACCTACCCAGATGAACAGTTCTAACAGTGACACTGTTCGTCCTTCCACAGCTGACGCAATACTGATTGGTTCGTTTTGACTTTGTGTCGCTGGTTTGAATTTGTTTGACATTGAATACCGTTCGGTTTAGTTCGGTTCGGTTGATTGTGTCTGTGTCTGTGTCTGTGTCTGTGTGTGTGTTATCATTAATCGAAATGTTATATAATCGCCCGGTAAAATTCTTCATTCACATGCAGAATGGTAATTAATGGTGATTCGATATATGAATTAAGGCGGCTAATGAATGCCATTTTTTTTGGCTCCACTGGATGATTTTTCTTCATTACTCTTAGTGCCACAGTATGGTACTGCCACACATACCATATCCACGGAGTTGAATGAACCCGAAATTAATTAGCTTAGATGAGAGGCAAATCACCGATCAACTAAGTTGATTCAACTCAACAGCTAATTTAGATTGGTTTTTATAAACAAAAATTTCCATATAGTAAAGGCTGTAAAGGTATGCAGAACCGAAATGGACAGTACCTAATTCGAGACAACTGTTCGCATTCTATACGAAAAAAATATGTTACGAAAACTGTCAAACGGTAGTTTATTTCCTCCAAATCTTTGTGTGTATTATTCCAACATTCCCGAGCTTGCGTCCTTTTCCATAAAGAATTCAACGGGAATAAGTGCTAAGGTAAGAAGTCAACGACTGTATAGCAATAAAATTGGCTGAAATAAATGGCTAAAAGATCTTAAGTCAAAAAGTCACTAAACTCATACGAAACGTTTTAAATAAATAAAAGTTTATTAAATAGTTATCTGATTGAAAAAATGGACAAAAATCATTTTTTTTTCTTCTTTTGTTCCAAGAACTTCATCTCATATTTGATTGGAATTTTTCGTTTTATGCAAAAAAAATATATTGATTTTAATGTGTGAAGAATTATAATGTTAATGTTTCAATTTAGAGCTTAAAAGATTGAGTCTAAGGTAGTTCAAAATCTACCATTTTACCCGTTCTTTGTGGATTCATTCTCGGTGCTTCATACAGCACTTGCGTTCGCATTGGCATTTCATCTGCTTGGATTGTGCGTGTATTTGGTATATATTCGATGATATAGACATAGGTCAAAATGGCGAGGATATAAAATATGACTGAAATAATAGCCACCGCAGACACAATCTCATATAAATTATGAATTTTCGTTGCGAAGAAAAAACATAAGACGTATCCTATAAATAAGGCGCTCCAAACGAGGGGAAATAGCATGAATATGGATTTATACTACGAAAAAAGGGGAAAAAAAAGGTCAACGAGAATTATTAATGGGAAATTAAAATTGTTTCGTTGTATCAGAATTCCATTTGATTGTATCAGATAGGGTTTTTCTTCAAATAAATCGATAGTTTTTTTAGTACATTTAATATCGATTATAAGTAATCGATTCTGAACTCAAATCAAACGGTTATTCTGAAACGCTCAAATTGATGGATAACACCTACGGTATGATTTCCATATAGCCAAGATACACTAGCTATGACATTCACCGCTGAAAAAGATATTTTGTTCGAAAAAAATTGATTAGAATTCAAACAAAAACGACGAAAAATGAAGATGGTTAGTTCTACGACAGCTGATTGAAGATCAAGAAAAATGAACAAGATTTGGAAAAAAAATCGAATAATAATTTTCAAAAATGTTTTTAATTCGAAAAATTGGCAAAGTTTTAATGAAAAATTAAAAAAAATAATTCCAAATTTGCTCCAAACTTTTACATTTTTGTGTTGATAGAAAATCAAACTTGCGGATGAAAACTCACCAAGAAATATAACATGGAAACTTCCATCGAATAGCCAAAAGAATGCCATGAAATTTAAAATGAGTGAAAGATATCCGATTGTGAATCCAACATGTCTCCAACTAGGCATTTTTCTTATCTATAATAATCTGGAGAAAATGGACACAATTCAAATGAGAAATGAAATCGTTAATTTTTCCTAAAAATGTCACCGAGCATTCAATAAATAATGAGAAAAGAAATACTACATTTTTCACCAAGTTCTATCATTCTATCATATCACCGTCTATGTTCACTCACATAAACACATTTTGGTCTACAAAAGCAGAAAATACATTGAAATACACATCGTAAACACACACAAAAATACGTTGGAATGGACAAAAGCTTGACCGCTGTGTGCGTGAAAGTAGCGCCAAAATTTTACTTAATCAAATGTGTGCGTGAAGAAAAAAACTAAAATTATCCATTTTTGTCGACTGTTTGTTTAAGTGAAAAAAATCGATTTTCGTGAGGTGTATCAAACCACTGACTGGTGAGTCACTTCGAGGGAAAAGCCACATTTCACGACAATGCTTCGCTTTGAATTTGATTTGAACGCATTTTTGATAGAATTCTTAGTATTTTATTTGTTGATTAATATTTTTCGGAAGCAGTTCCTAATTTTAATAGAATTGGGTTCGAAGTTTTCATTCATCACTTCCATCACACACATATATAGTTCTTATTCTGCTTCATTACATATTTTGTTCTTATTTTCTTTTTCAATACAAATAAAATCTCGATGTTTGAGTGTAAAAGTTTTGTATGTTGACAATTTTCCATTGTGTTCCGTATATAAAACCAATGAAATTAACCAAATATAATTTGTATTTTGATGAATAAAATTGATTCCGAAAATATTCAAACACCACAACCCTTTAAAAAAACATTCGACAAATGTGAAATATGTAAATGTAAAAATTATGACAGGAAAAATCAATGTAAGTGAGTAATCCATTAGCTTACCGTGCTAGTCAACGGCTACGGAAGAACTGCTTGTGTATATCCATAAAAAGTAACTTGACGCGGTGTCACCAGATTGAGTTCGACATTGATTCACACTCGATGGGAATGTATTGTTAGAACGAATTGAATAACGAGACGTTATTAACGACCAAAACCTCGATCGAACCATTTCGAAGTGGAAACCACGAGTCGAATGACTCCAAGTCGTGCGTGAGTGATGACTTGATTTTCAGTGTGAATTATGTAACAAATTCTTAAAACTTTAACAAAATTTTGGAATTTGATTTACGGTTGCCAGGAATCCTAAATAGTGTGTCGTCTTTCAATAAGATTTGGAGAATAAAACACTTTCAATGACTTGATTTTATAACGAATCAATTTATTCTCAAAGAACTGGTTTTCTTGAAAAAAAAAAAACATTTTTCATTCTTTTCAACCAATTGTGTTTTTGATAACAAAATCTTGTAAAAACAAACTCAAAACCACGTGAGCATTGCAGAAGATCTGGAAGAGTTTGTCTGCTAAATCCAAGTCGACTCCGTCCTCTTCCTTAGCGTGTTGTCGGTGTACTTTGTTTTGAGGCAATCTGGATGGGTTCGTTTAGAGCAAAATTGTTGGAAAAAACAAAAAAAAAAACCTTCCAATGAGTTCGTTATTGGTTGACTCAACTCATAGGCGACTCTTCTAAAAAAATTCGCCCCAAAATTTCCTCGTCAGCAACTCGATCCGTTTCGATGTGGCTCAAGTATTCCTTGCGTGCATCACTCATTTGATTTACCTTTCGCGCGTATATATCCACAATAAGCAGTGTGAATACCAATATAAGAGTCGATTTCGAAGCCATTTCAATTGATCTGGCACACACTTCTCTCAACAAATACCGATTTCACACTGACTCTCATCGCCGAACGACGATGTTATTAGTACGGAATTGTTTGCGAAACGGTTTCATTGACGTTGAAAATGCTGCGCCCATGGGAGAAACAGTGGTTTTTCCATGTGTTTTTTCTATCATTTTCTCACCTAACAATTTTCTTCGAAAAAAATTTCCTGCCGAAGAATAATCTCAATATAAATCACTGCTATGGCGATTGCCAATCGCTGATTTGAGAATAATTGTTAATTAGCATTCAAAATATTCTGCAGTCTGTTCCGTCCCCTGAAATAATCTCTATCAATCATTTCGGCCTCTTCTGACCCGAAGTATCAATTTACTTGAACATTGAACAAAGAACGATTCCGGCGACACTTCAATGGTTCATATACATGTTAGGTGAAATAAATTTAGTCGCAAAAATAAACCGATCGTCAAGCAAGCACTGGTTCGGAGATAGAAATATGTTTACCTAGATGTTTTATACTGTATAAATATGCAAAGCATAGACGCATACGGATGACCGTTTGACGAACGTATCAACAGAGCAATCATTTTTCACTGTGTACTATATTCATACACACACTTACGCGTGCGTCTCTCACAGGAGATCGTACATTGCGATTCGATACGTTCGTCGCACGGTCGTCCGTACGCGTCTATTCTTAGCATATTTGTCTCACATATTTCTATCTCCGAACCAGTGCTTGAAAATCGATGGACCAAAACAATTGGACCAGCAAAATATACTCCATATTATGTTTATGAATAAAAATGAAAACAGATTACGGTTGATTCTCTTTTATTGTACTGAATTCTGATTGAAACAGAATACATAAGTCTTATTTTTATTGTTCAAGTCTTGGATGTATGAAAAAAATCCAAAACAAATGATCTCTTTGATGAGATCGAAGTTGTTGATTCGAAAAGTCTTTGTTTTTTTGTCGATAACGCATTTAGTGTTCGTTTCAAGTAGATTGGCTTTGAAATTCAAGCCAAATAAAAAGCTATTTCACTCTTAATTTCAAAGCGGATACAAAAATTGATTCGATTTCGAATGAATTATCTAAACTTCAAGCACAAGTGTTGGGTAGATTCGCAAGCGTTGACCTTTTTCAGTATTTCCCTTAGTTATTGCGTACTTTACGTTCGGCCGAGGGTCGCTGACTGTGTTTTGGTTGCTGGACTTCTTCACCGACCAATAAGATAAGATAGCGACAACGTAGTATCCAACGAAAACCAACGAACAAGCGATAATTTCGTAGAATGGAAACTCATCAGCCTCCAGATCTTCCATCTTGAGGTACTGTATCCCTCTGATTATACCAATGAATATGAAGCACAAACAGAATCCAGCTGGGACAGTCCAGAGCAAAATGGAAAGCAACATGTAGCCAGGTTTGTACTGAAAGTTAGATAGAGATTAAATGATTTTTTGATTTAGGGCGAATTGGTTTACTAATCGCAATTAAAATGATAAGAATTGGTAGGTAGTTGTCAATTGTCAATTCCGAATTGAAACTCTTTGAAAAACATTTTTAGGTTTTCTACAGAAACGTATACTTACTGAAAACGCGCCATAAATGAAAGCGACGTTTAACACACAGTTAAATACTGTAAAAATAAAAGGCATAATTAATTCGTCATTGAATAAAAACTCATCACTCCAGTTCAGTATTATGAAGATAAATAATTTTTTTTTATGTTTACAAAAAGAGCTCAGTGCAAACTCACCGAGTGCAATGCAAATAGGAAGCATGGCTTGTCCGAAAATCGATGCCGGCAGTATAAATATGACCGAAACACCAATCAAGACCACAGTCACTATTAACGAAAGTGATCCAATTACTATTCCGACCAGTCTCAATTTGGGACTCCTTTCATTTACCATTTTGATGGATTTTTTTTAATTCTGATTTTAGATAGTTAGTGATGAGTTATCGGCAAGTCTGAAATTTCGAAGAGAAAATACAAAATGAATCATAATCATAAAACAGTATTTCATTGCGTTTGAAATTAAACCATTTTTGCATTCAATCACCAAAACTGTTCCATCATTTTCATTCAATTCAAGTAATTTATTTTATTTGCGATATTTTTTCATTCAAGCCTGAGCTAAATTGAACTATTATTACTGAAATGAATTCAATGGGCAAAATCGAAACGTAAATAACGAAAAATGCAACAAATTTTATCAAATAATGTTGAAACGTGATAAAAACACATAATCACTATGAATCAATTCAAATAAACTAGTGGAATTTTGAATGAAATTGTGGGAAAAATTCGGAGAAAATCGTATGCCTTTAGCATTTTTATCAAAATCTAAACAATATTCTTATCAATTATAAATTCCATTCGATTAAAAATGCGAACTAAAATCGCCCTTCACCGCATTTTCAAACTTAAATACACTTTAACTCGCCAGTTCATCAATTTGACTTATGTTACGGTTCGTAACTTATGGTCGTAAGCAATGATGCGAACTCAAAAGAGATGCATCTCAATGCGGCCACACAGAAAAAAACAAAGCCGAACGTTTGAACAATGCGCATCTCGTACTATTATGTGTAATTCTGAGAAAAGAACCGTAATGCACTATGTGTACTTCGGTGTAGTGACTACACATTTGATTTGTTGCTTTCTTTCATCTTCTTCTTCGCATTATACCGTATTTTTATTGAAATGGTCATGCATTACAGCATCTTTCAGTGAAATTAACGGAATTCGAATTCTTCTTTGGTTTTTTTCCCAACTGTTTCTGCTCTTTTTTTATTTTATTAATTTTTTTCTTCAAATTTTTTTGATTTTTTTTTTCAAATTAAAGCAAGCAAATTGAAGCATCGACTAAAAGCAAGTAACCATTGTCGGAAAAAAATGCACAAAGACTTCAATGAAATGTTCTTCAATTAAATCAAATCAATCACAAAACACTTTTCAACACAAAATATTTGATGAAACAATTTCTTACTTTCCGGATGGCATAAATCACGTTCTCCTTCTTCAAAGTAGCTGTTTAAAAGAGTTGAAGCTATTTGTTGCAAGCCGATCGCAATAAAACTGCTTGACGTTGTTTGGTCTAGAACAAAGAAATCTACTCACTCACATGTGCCACTTTTTCAGTTAAATGCAATCAAATTCTGAGTTGATAAATATTCGTAATTTAATTTATTTCGTCATAAAATTGTGAACTTTATTTCAGTTTATTCAACAAAAATGCGTTTGAATCTCCTCTTGTTATAAACAAAGATGAAATGTAAAAAAAATATGAAAAAAGACAAAGGTCCGAATTCTGAACTAGGGTCTTGTTGAGTATACGCTGTTTCTGCTAGAACAGTTGAAGTTAAACTGCGTTGACTGATCGCTTGCTTGACTTTGATGCGTTGAGATGCATGCTCAGTGCATCGCACTACGTTGACGTACGATGCACGTGCGCACAGCGAACCGTTTGTAAACATAACGTAATTGAACCAGTCTGTTCATTCAGATGCTGCCGCAAGTAACGATTCCACGCCGTGTATACGTACATTACGCTGTACCGCAAAATGCAACACATTCAAAATGCTTTCCGTTTGTCTATGAATTTCTTTCATAGTATTAATTTCTTCATTCGTTTCAAGCGCTTGCTTTTATGGGTTTCGCAATGAGCGTCAACGACTGCAACACATGAACAGAACATACATTCAATAGAATTGGATAGTGTAGTGATAGTTTGAACATATGAACGCGTGAGAATAAAAGCCTGACGCTAGCAGGTTTTTCGCAAAAGCGGGATAACAATCAGTTGCACGCAAAAGAGACATTTCAAAAGGCTACACGCAAACGGAACATTTTATTTTGTCGCATTTTGAATTTTAAAGCCGTGATTACAACAACAATATACTTCTCTCTTGCGTGCAACCTTTTGAAATGTCTCTTTTGCGTGCAACTGATTTTTATCCCGCTTTTACGAAAAACCTGGTAGCGTCAGTCTTTTATTCTCACGCGTTCATATGATGTATGGTATGAATATATGATGCATACAAGTACACAGAAATGGAATCGCTTCAAAAGAAAACGAACGAAGCGGCATTGTTTGCACTCATATGTGTTGGTTGTCAGCATGTGTAGCATTTTGTTTAGTTGCAGAAACAATTGATGACATTCAAATGTCAAAGTAGTTTTCCACGTTGTATTTTAACAGGCCAATGATCGTGATCGACGTTTGATTTTGTGATTTGTAAAAATGCAAAAGTTAGAAAAGGTTCAAAAAATCAAAAGAGAAGATGAGTTCTAACAATATTTTATTCAATTCTCATTCTTCAAGCTTTCAGCTCTGTATCACGATGGCAATCTTCGGAAATATACTCACTTCACTGCTAAACGCAGTTCACGTTCATGTGGGGTCATATTCAAAATGCCATTTTTAATTGCGTCATAAATCCAAAAGACCACCGTTCCGGTGAGAGCAACTGAAAAAACCGAATTTTGTTTTAGCCTTGAAACAAATTGAATTCGTTTTTAAACTCACCTCCTGACCAGCAAATGCAGAATATTTCAAGCGTGAAATAGCCACCACAATCCACAATCGTACCGATAAACATTGAATTCACAGACAGAATAAGACTAACCGCGGATCCGACGCTAGAAGAAAAATGAAACACAAAAATCAATACTGTCAGCCTGAGCTAGGAAACAAAGCTTAGCTTAGCATACAATCCAAAGGCAGTGCCAAGTTGATATGCAGGAACGACGAGCGCAATAAGAGGCGTTACATTAAAGGAAAGCATCAATATCGCCAATCCCATTAAGATCTAGGTTAGAGTTTGTTTTAAAAATTGAAAATTCATTAATTCTTAGATAAATATGCGAGTAAATATCGAACGATGGTGAGTCAAAGTCAAAGATTCTCGAGAGATTCTTGTCCCAACGAAAGGCTTACCATGCAAATTAATGGATTAACATATGTAAATGCGAATAATGAATGAGCCGTGATCAATGCAAGAATTGATATTAACATCCAGTAAATATTTTTGCCCGTTTTATCAATGATATAACCGAACAATGGACATGCCACAGCTGAAATAAGACATAATGTTGAGTTGATATAGTTGGCATCCTGTGCACTGAAGTCATATTTTTGCATGAAGAACATTCTAGAAAATAAATTTGAAAAAGATCGGAATGATAATTCCGATTCCTTTTAGAGTTTATCAAAGTCTAAACATATATAATTACTTGCTCAATGCCATAAATGAATTTACGGCTACATTGGATGCAATACAAATGGAAATGATCATCCAAAATGTTGCGTTAAATGTTTTTACATCACTCAATTTAGCAATGTCACCGCCTGGATTATCGTTTCGCTGCAGAATTCGCTGAGCACGCTTATCGAGCGCACCAAGAAGAATAGCACAGATAAAGGACATCAGACAGGGTGTAAATACGATTAGCATGACAACGCCGAGACACATGTGTCCCGTATACCATTGATTGATGTATTTGTAAAGTGGTTCGATCATCATAAGATGGATTGTACCTCCGCCCAGTGCAATCGACGACATTATACCGAACACCATGTTCAATTCCTTGTCTTTGAACCACAGCACACCATAGTTTCTCTGTGCAATACCTATCGATCCTTCACCAATGCCAAGTATGAAACGTCCTAGCAATATCATTCGAAATGCACCAAGCATCACACCAATGGAAACAATCAATTGGCCAACCATCATTATGAACGAGTAGAGAATTGTGCCGAAACGAACGCCAAATACTCTGTCAATCAATGAAATAGGGTAATAATTCAAATTTAAATTGAAATCATTGTGGTCACCAACCGATCAATTAGGAAGCCTCCAAGAAAGCAGATTACCACATTCGGCCATATATTTATCGAACTCAACCACACATATTGCGTAGTGGATAAATCCAAGTCTTTCATGAAATAGTTCTGCAACGGTCCGGGACTACAGAATATAGGAGCTGTAAAAATGGTTCAATCAAAACTTCAATTTTTTTTTTTATTATTTTAATAAATTTAATCAATGGATTTATTCCAAATGATTACCGGCTGCGATCAAAGACATCAAAATTAATGCTATGAAGCGATGACATGTAGATCCACCGAATCCAATTCCCGCGTTCAGCTCATCATCGTTGGATGTTTGACGATTTTCCTCGTCATCTTCGTCACTGTCCAATATTAGCGTAGATAAATCATCGTTTCCACTCATTTTTTCTTGAAAATATCAAGAGGCACACACTATTGGGAATTAAAATTGAATAGTAGAGTGGGCGGTTTTGTTGCTTTGTTTTTAAGTTTAGACGTGTTCAGCTCAAATTTTGTCTTTACACTCAAATTGCATGTTTCATTCAATATACAATTTAATACGATTCATTTGTAGAAAAACAAAGGAGGTGACGTCTGCCTGGCCACTTTTTTTGCCAAAGTTTTGCCTTGAATTACACTTCAAATGTTACTTAGCCCTTGCTTTATTTAAATCTGAATCTTTCTGGATCATCCCTGAATTTGATAAGATAAATTTTACAAAATAACTTTGTTTCAATAATGTCGGCATCACTAAATCCAAATCTTTCGTTAGAAAAGGTGCAGCAAGTATTATATAGCTCCTTTATTGACCCGTTACACACCCTCAACTGAACTGTTAGTTTTTAAATAAATCGGCAGTTCATAATCGGTTACAAATAATGCATTGTTATATTGTGTTATTCTCTATGAAATGCATGAGTCATGCGTCCAAAGAACACAATTCGTTGAGAACTAGCATGTAACTGAATACAACGCAATAAAGCTGTATAGACTGATTAAATGTAGTTGATATCAAATATTGAACTTGTTACAGAGTATGGAATAACAATGATTCAAAACTATTGCGTTCTTTTTTGCGTTTGATTTTGACTTCAGTTGAGCTCATTTCGGAACTCCGTAAAATTAAGAAAAAAAACTCACCTCACGATTGAATAACCGATAAGCACGTTTAGTAGCAACAACAATTTTAAGTGGTTGTATTCATTTTTCGGGAAATTTGATATTTGACAAGAAATTTATTAAACATTCAACAAATTGTTGGCGCTAGTGTTTGTAAAAAGATTTAAAATTAAAAAAAAAACTAATGAACTCTTATTTGAACATGAATGAAAACGGGCAAACAAAAATTATCACAGAAAACGAAAGACCGCACGTCTAATGGAAGTGTTACATTACAGAAAATGAGAACAATAAATATTTTATTTCTAATTTTGTGAATTTTATCTTATCTAAACTGTGTCAAGCACGATGTGTTTGCTTGAATAGTTGAATTTGTACTGCGACCACTAATCAGCTGGTTGACTTTGATGCGTTGAATTGCATATTCGATGCATTACAATGCTACGTCCATGCACGATGCACATTTGCACCGCATCGCCAATAGTTTGCCAAAACAAAACGTAAATAAAGCCACAATTATTCAAGTCAGACGCTGCCGGATAACGGCCAATAACGGCTACTTCAACGCTGTGTACGACTGTACGTACATTACATACGCCGTATCATGCAATGCAACACATCAAAATGCTTTCCGCTTGGCTATAAATTTCTGTCATAGTATTTTCTTCATTCAATTCAAGCGCTTGTTTTTATGGGTTTCGCAACGAGTCAAAACAAACTCAGCACATGAACGAAACACACGTTTACTAGAATCAAAGTTTGGAGTTTGAACATACGATGCATACACAGAAATGGAATCGCTTCAAAAGAAAACGAACGAAGCGGCATTGTTTGCACTCATATGTGTTTGTTAACAGCATGTGAAGCGTTTTGTTTAGTCACAGAATCAAATGTCAAAGTAGTTTTAGTACATTGACTGAAAAGAGGCTCCGCAGTTACCTATTGTTTCCACGCGATTGACACTTTGTTTTGTGATTTGAAAAATGCAGAATATAATGCAAATGATAAGAACGAAAGATCGCACTTGTAATGGAAGTGTTACATTACAGAAATGAAAACGTTTTATTTCTAATTTTGTGAATTTCGTCTTATCCAAACTGTGTCTGACACAGTGTATTTGCTTGAATAGTTGAATTTGTACTGCGTCAAATGATCAGCTGGTTGACTCTGATACGTCGAGTTGTCATATTAACTTATATATTATATAACTTAGACGCTCCCGTAACGCTTCTACGCCGTACCGTACCACACATTCAAAATGATTTCCGTTTGGCTATGAATTTCTTTCATAGCATTAATTTCTTCATTCGTTTCAAGCGCTTGTTTTTATGGATTTTACAACGAGTCGAAACAATCGCAACCCATGAATAAATCACACATTCAATAGAATCGAACCGTATATTCGAATTTCATCATACAAACACACGCATATAGAATCACTTTGTGAATACGTACAAAGGAGTATTGTTTACGTTCATATGTGTTGCTTATCAGCATGTGTAGCGTTTTGTTTAGCCGCAGAATCGAATATAAAAGTATTTTCACACATTGACTTTCAGCTGGGTCCTCAGTTACTTAATACTTCCGCGTGATCGACGTTTGATTTTGTGAATCAACTTCAAAAATTACAAAGTGTCGGGAAAACTTAGTGAAAATGATAGATTTTATAACATTTTCAATTAATTTTTATACTTTATAATGGTAAACAAATGGTTTGAGTTTAAATTTCCAATACCAGTGAATTAAAATATGAACAAATAAAATTCGAGCAATCAAAAAGTCAAAGAAAATTCATAAGAAGCAAATAAAATGATAAAAATGAATTGATTTGAATTCAATTACTTTTATTGAAACGAAATTCTTTTTTCTTCGCAATATATTAAATTCATATTCGGGCAATTTGATGAATTAAAAATGAGTAAACTTCCGATTTCGGATCCATTTCTTGTACAGAAACTTCAACTTCTGGCAATTTTGTGTACTTTGGCAACGACAGTGCACGGGTATAGAATCTTGGTTTTGGCGCCAATAAATCGAAATAGTCATTGGAACTATATGCAAGTCTTTGTCAATGAGCTTCTGACACAAGGACATGAGGTGACGTGCATTACGAGCATCAAATTGAGTGGGCCAAAACATGAAAAATATATCGAAATTCTCATTGATCCTCCATATAACATGCAGAATATTAGTAAGTGAACCATAACTGAGTGTGTATTTTCTGTAGAAAAACATGAATTAAATATGAAAAATTGTTCGAAATCCAAATAAATTAAAGTGAAACTCAATTTTATTAAACCCAATTTGCTACGGCAACAGTTTATTATGGAGTAAGATTGGCGTTTATCAAGTCATTCCAATCAAAAGGACAGCACGTTTCTACCTCCAAACAATGATAAGGATTTGCTTACTTAATCGATTTTACTTCTGAATGTTATCGAAGTGTGCAAATATGTAGCTTTTAGGTAGTCATTGAAATCAGAGCAAAAAAAAACACTCACAGCGTATTCTTATCTCTATTTTATGAGTGTTGAATTGAAATCCAGCCTCTCTGATCATCTGTACAAATAGATAGGAAATTTCAAACAAGAACAATAAAGCGGCACCTGGAGACTGGTTGGAGAAATATAGAATCATGCACATAGTTTGCTGTAACAAGTATCCGTCTGTGTAAGTGCGTCTGTGTTAGTTCAAACGTTGAAAGTATGGCACATTGCACTTAGTCCCCAGGTGCCGCTGTATTGTTTACTATTTTCATGATCAGAAAGGCTGTTGAAATCGATTCCATCAGTATCAAATATAGATTGTTATTTGAAAAAAATGAAAGCGAAAAGAACACCGAAAGTTGCTACTGAAGGAATTGAACTACGCATTTATATTGTAAGGGAGAATTCACTCATTTGCGTCCTTCTTTGAAATGTTTTAGACAAAAGAAAAAAATCAGTTAGATTTAAATTGTTTTGATAAAACGTTTCATTGGATTTATTTAGAGTAAATAGAAAACCGTGATAATATTCCGAAATTCTTACTGCTCAATGTTGCATTATATGTTGAAATGACCAAAAGCCGAAAGTTTGTTTGAAAGGAAATTCAATTGATCATATTTACAAAGTTATAATATCATAAAAAAAAAACTTTTTTTCACAGTCAAAGACGAGGACATTTACAAAGTCGTTCACTATTCACCATTTGCCGTGGTAGATGCGTTTCGATCGTTTGCCAACGCTTCATTAGACTATGCACTTGCGGACAAAAATGTGAAGAAATTCATTCACAGAACGGATTTGCACTTTGATCTTGTGATCAATGAGGACATATATTACGATGCTCTATTGATGTTTGGACACAAGTTCAAGGCGCCAATTGTGACAATTTGTAAGTAGCTCGACAGACGGCTTTTTGATCTTATTTTCATTATTCTTGATTCGTTGATATTCAATTTATTCCTTGTACTTACAGGCCCTTACGGTATACCCGATTTCTTTGACCATGAAATGGGTCTTTTAACACCGCTTTCACATGTTAGCCACACATTGCTCACGTACACAGATCAAATGAACTTCTTCCAAAGATGGCACAACACAATCCTTTCCGGCTATGACTGGTTTTTGCGTCGCTTCTATCACGTTCCGTTGCAAACAAATTTATTGAAGAAACACTTTGGCCATTTGAAGCCACTGCCATCGATTGATGAACTCCGTAAAAATATCTCCGTAATTTTTGCAAATGCTCATCGAGCTATCACACATCCGCGACCATCAATGCCCAGTTTGATTTATATTGGTGGAGCCCACATTAAACCACCAAAATCATTGCCAAGCGATATTCAACAATTTTTAGATGAAGCCAATGACGGTGTGATTTTCTTCAGCTTGGGGAGCGTTGTTAATGCATCGAAAATGCCCAAGGCGAAGCTAAATGTATTTTTGGGTGAGTTTTTCTTTAAAAAAATTCTTTAACTACGTGAATTGGGTAGTTTTTTGATCATTTTTTTCTAAAACATTCTTCTTCCGATCAAAACTTGGTTCTAATTTTTAAATCAGTTGATTTTCTCATTTTTGGTATCAAATTATGTGCAAAACTAGAAAGACAACTCATATTTTCTGAGAAATTTACTTTCAAACTAAATTTTCAATTCGAAAATTCATTTCAGAAACCTTCAGCCAGCTCAAACAACGAGTGATTTGGAAATTTGAAGATGAATCTATCGAAAATCTCCCTGAAAACGTGATAGTTCGCAAGTGGTTGCCACAAAATGACTTGCTCGCTCATCCAAAAGTCATCCTCTTCATAACACACGGTGGTATGCTGTCCAATTTCGAAGCAGTTCACTATGGCACTCAAGTGCTGGTGATTCCGTTTGCTTTTGATCAATACCGAAACGCATTACGCGCTCAAAGTGCTGGATATGGAAAGTATTTGGACTTCAATGAAATCACAAAAGAATCTTTTTCTGGGGTACTCAATGAATTGTTGTCGAATAAGCAATATTCGATAAAAGCCAAGGAGACTGCAGCGATTTTCCGTAAAAACCCAATAAATCCCATGGACGAATTCATCTGGTGGGTGGAGTATGTCATCAAATTTCAAGGCGCAAAACATCTGAAATCAACTGCCGTTGACATGTCATTGTTTACATATCTTTTGTTAGATGTACTTTTTGCCAATTTAGTGTTGCTATCCATTCTTGCTTATGTCCCTTATTTTGTTTATCAAAAAGTACTTTTGATGAAAAAATTTCTGGAAATGAAAGAGAAAGAGCAGTGATCACAGCTTTTGTTGTTTTACTTATTGGAAATCAATTTCAAAGTCTTTTGATGGGACAGTTTTAATCATACGTTGTAATATTCGGTGAGTGCCACTGAAAAAATATTTATACTTATTTGGTGCGTGAGACGCATGGTGAGACGTACGCGGATGAGATGAAGCAAAGCGAAAGAGAGGCGGGTAACTCCATACGAACGAACGATATAGCGCTCATACATTTCGTCACTCCGTCGTTAGAATACGGGCATAGGGTGGCAGCATCAAGAAAATTCAAATTGTCGCGCTGTTTAGTTCGGAAAAAAATTCCGAAATTACATTGATTTGCCTATTGAAATTGAGGGCGCTCGCGTCGCTACAGTTGTCATTTAAGTTGTTTTCGGTCTTGCTGCCATCCGATGAATACGGAAACAAACACAAACACGTAGTACCCATTGACTCTATGTTCTAGTTGCGCGTTTCGCTTTGCTTCATCTCATCCGCATGCGTCTCACTCACTAAATGAGTATAAATATATAATATTTTTTCAGTGGCACCCTTCGAATATTACAATGTATGGTTGTAATGCGATTATTCCAAATCAATTGATAATCACCAACAATTTATGAATGGGTACAAATCTTAAACGATAATTTCTAGTTTCTTAGAACAATTTGCGGTAATTTTTTAAAGAAATTTGAACTCTAATGTTAAGTTTTTTAATAAAAACACTTTGAATTAAATACAAATAAAAAGAATTACATTGGTAATCCCGAACTTTTCCGTACCGTTGGCCTGCGTTGTCCGTAGGAACTTTTGGTTATTTTTTTGTGAATTTTCTTGAAATAAAGGCAGTGAAAATATAATAATAAAAATAAAGTGAAAAATTCTCATTAGCTTTAAACTTTCTGAGGTTTCATTTTTTGGAGAAAAAATAAGATTCTGAAAGTTTCATCTTGATCGCATTAGCAGAAGTTTGGTTTTTGCCCCTCAATTTTTTCCAAGAAAATTTCGACAAAAATTGAGGACAAAAAATCAAACTTCTGCAGATGCGATTCAATTTTCTCAGAATTCAATTTTCCTCCCAAAAAATGAATTCCCAGAAAGTTTGAAGCCAATCGGAGTCGATTTACAGGTACCTCCCATACAAAAGTGTCAATTTTTTTAGGTTTTTCTTAGAGCAAGTACCCCAGGATCAAATCGAAAATGGCTCATTTTCGAACTTAAACTAAGTTTTTCGAATACAAAACTTTTGACATTTCCAGATTTTGATTATCTCAGTTATTTTTTGAGTTATAGTGTTTACAAACAGCTACGACGACGACAACGACGACAACGACGACGACGGCACACGAACGGAAAAGTGTCTCAAAAAGTGGTTTTCTACGCGTTTCATGAGTTTTTATGACGATCTAAGATAATTTTGCGAAAAAAGTTTTCGGGACCAATTCCTATACTTTCCCTTGACACGTTGTGTACGGAAAAGTAAAATCGGTCACTTCAACTAAAACTTCGACAATCTTGTATGGGAGGTACCCGTAAACCGATTTCCATTGGCTTTAAACTTTCTGAGGTTTCATTTTTTGGAGAAAAAATAAGATTCTGATAGTTTCATGTTGATCGCATTTGCAGAAGTTTGGTTTTTGGCCCTCAATTTTTTCCAAGAAAATTTCGACAAAAATTGAGGACAAAAAATCAAACTTCTGCAAATACGATCAACGTGAAACTTCCAGAATCTTATTTTTTCTCCAAAAAATGAAATCTTAGAAAGTTTGAAGCCAATCGGAGTCGATTTACGGCTACCTCCCATACAAAAGTGTCAATTTTTTGAGGTTTTTCTTAGGGCAAGTACCTCAGGATCAAATCGAAAATGGCTTATCTTCGAACTTAAACTAAGTTTTTCGGATACAAAACTTTTGGCATTTCCAGATTTTGATTATCTCAATTATTTTTTGAGTTATCGTGTTAACAAACAGCTACGACAACGACAACGACAACGACGACGGCACACGAACGGAAAAGTGTCTCAAAAAGTGGTCTTCTACGCGTTTCATGAGTTTTTATGATGATCTAAGCTAATTTTGCGAAAAAAGTTTTCGGGACCAATTCCTATACTTTCCCTTGACACGTTGTGTACGGAAAAGTAAAACCACTTACAAATACCAAAACGTGTGTACATCTTTCAGAAACGGGTTTTCTATTTAAAAACTGCAAATTGAATTTCCAATTTAAAAGCTGGAACGAACGTCGCTTTTTCAAACTGAAAAATTTGTTCGAAATGACTTTAATTTGAACTTGAGTTCCCATTTATAATCAAATTAACGGAATCGATTCGTCATGTTAAATTTTACTCTTGCTCCAGACCTACGACATGTGTTTTTTCATTGTTCCATGGCTAAACACCCTCTATTTCTCTTATCTAAATAAAATAATTATGTATTTCAAAAGTGCGCAGAATGAAAATGTCTAAAAATTCACAAGTTACTTTGTTTACTTTGACTCATTTGTCCCAGTTATCATTTGTTTGGGTATAAAAATGCGGATTTTTTTCGATCATATCTTTTTGCATTGAAATTAAAGCGGTCTATTTGTGAATGAGAAGTCATGTTCAAAGTCAAAGTCAAAGTCCGGGTCGAAGTCAATTGAATCACTGAGATTGAATTTGTAACATATAAAGCTACTATTAATTATATTCTTACTTTTGAGTTGAAAAATCTTAAAGAATAAAGAATAAAAATTACGAAATGTCTTTGCGAACTTCATTACTTTTTGCGAGAAAAGGTTCAGTAAATTTGTTTCACTGTTTTATAATTTAAGTTCTTCACCGGATAAATGGCAATTGGCGTTTGAAGTTTCTTAATTTGTTTTCAAAGTTGTTCAATTTATTATTATCATTTGTAATATTAATGCAATTTTATCTTGGCGATTCAATTTATCGCTTGAACACAATGTTATTTATTTATTTATTCATTACGAAACCTACATTTATGCCAATATGTGTTCACAGCGAGCTGAGAATATGCTGGTTATAGACCCAATACGGCATTAAAAAAAGCATTGTTGCATTTCTTACTAGACACAGAAACCGACTTAAGCAATAGGCTGCCGGAAATAATGACCTTATCATTTCTTTATTTCTTTATCATGTGGGACTTGCTAGCGAACTTAAGACCTTATCGCCCAACAGGACAAAGTTAAACAGCCTAAATAAAGTATTTTGAAACGATTCATGGAATAAAAACGGCGAATATCATATTTATATGTTTGTAAAAATGAAAAGCAAAACAGATAAGAACAAAACAAAAAAGCACTGAAATGGTCGTAGGTTTTTCGATACGAACACTTTCTTTGTTCATTCGAAGTCAAGCAAGCTCAATCTCTTCACGCGTTATTCCATTTCATTGTAAAATCTCGCATTTATACTGTTTTTTTTTAGAATTTCATTGGTGATACCATGAGTAATAAACTGCGTCACTATTTCGATTTTTGTGTTCAAATCCGAAGCCATAAAACTTTCTTTTTCAAACTAAATGAAGACTGCTTCAACGAGATATTCAACCGGTTACCGCTCAAAGACTTAAATTCATTAGCCCAAACATGTAAGCGTATACTGTATGGCCACCACATATTTCCAAGAAAAAAATTGAAGTCTGTTGGTGGTTTTTAGTCTTAAAATCTAAATACTGCATAATAATAATCGAGATCCTACTTTCTTTTCATTTTTCATTGATTCCATTCCACTTTGTCACTATTTCTCATTAATTTCATTTGTTTCTTTTGTGATTTTCTTTCTCTCCTAGGTAAGCGTCTACATGATTTCACATCTAAATACTTTCAGCAACATTTTGCAACCGTTGAAGTGCACTATGGCAAAGATGGTCCAATTGCGTTCGAGTCGATTCGTGTGGATGCCTTCAGTCAGTTTATTCAAAGGCTTTCGATTCATCGGGTTGATTTGTGTTCGTTTCGTAATATTGCAGCCACATTCAAATCACTCAAGGAGCTCAATTTGATGGGCCTTCATCTAACTGCGCCAAAAATAGAGTGTTTGAAGAAAATCTTCGAAAAAATTGAAATCCTAAAAATACGAGACATTGAAATTGAAGCCGATGGTTTGCATTTTTTGAAGTTTTGCAACAATTTGCAGCGGTTAAGTGTTCGGAATTTGAAAACGATCAATACAAGTTTTGAGATGGATAAGCAAAGTTCAAGCTTAACAGTGGATAATGGTTGGTTGCGTCAAAAATACCCGAATTTGAAGCATTTTGAATTGATCGAAGTGGAAATTCTCAAATTCTGTGATGTGCTGGCATTTTTCAAGGAAAATCCAAATATTCGTAGCTTTTCAACCGATACGAAATTCCTCTCGCGATTCGAACACTTGATCACAGAGGTCAACGTAAGCCTTAATGATTTAACTATTGTTAGAGATTGTAAGGATGATTTGATCAATCAATCCATTTCCATTCAATTGAATCATCTGCACAAACTGGGCTTTTATGAGCGCTTACATTGGATCGGTGCTTATTTACCCTTTGAAGGACGCACTCTCCAAACCCAAATCGATCAACTGTCTCGATTGCAACCATTGAAAACATTACGCTTCAAAGCACTGGTCTATGTAATACCACATGTGGATCTGTCAGAGCTGATCAATGTCACAGAGCTTAGCATGATCGATCCACAAATGGGCACTAGCATCGGAAAATTAGCCAGCGAACTTTTGAATCTGGAACGAATCTCTTTCACACATGCATTTTTGGATGACATCACACCATTCGTAGTATGCTCGAAGAAACTGAAGGAAATTCACTTGTACGGAGATATTCGTAGTAGTAACGATATTATTTATCTCAGAACGCTGAATAAATCACGAACAAAGTTGGAGGGAGCAAGCAAAGTAACGATTCATGCCAATGATACGATTTATACAGAAACAAAGTGGGCAATCGGAGAGACTAACTTTCGTTTGATTGAATTAAAAAGAAGTTGAATTTAGTGAACGCCCATCATCTTTGACATTTCAAGGGCATTTTTTTTTTTTTTGAATAAACTGCAACTTTTTACAATTTTAACATTTCGAAAGTCAATTTCTTTAATAATTATAATGGTGAGATTTTAAATAGTACAACATAAGAAAACTGTAAGCGCTCAGATATCAAATCTTGAATAATAAATAAATGTCTTGAAAAATCGAAAATATTTAAAATATTTGAAATATTGAAATCATTTGAAATCTTCCTAGTTCCCTATGTAAAACTATTAATGAAAGCGAAGTATATATTTAAAAGAAGTGGACCATATGTTCAACAGCGTCTAACACTACTAGTTATCAAAAAAACCGTCAAGAGGGCGCCAACAGTTCCCCATTGGAATGTCCATAAGAAAGCGCGCTCTCTACGGCAAATTTTGCCATTTTTTTTAACAAAAAGTGTGCAGTGCTATACGCTGTTGCATATGTTTGTCATTGATTTCATAACATTGGCTAAATTTTCGTAGCAAATGTTTGACTTATCACAGCAATGAATCATGTCACTGTTTTATGACTTGATTATTATTATCGGTCGTATGTCATGGTATTTATTAAGACACTTTATCGCTTAAATGGACGAACATAAGTTGAAAGCGAATGGGGAAACGGCTACATGTATGACTGTTGAACAAGTGATTTTTTTTTTTGTTATTAAATTTGATAAACAAGTGATTCAAACGTTGTGCTCTTGTTTTTTAATATTCTTATTTTTTTTATTGCGCAACGAAGATTTGAAAATATGAAAAAAAGGAATATTCGTTGAATATTCATGGAACTGATTTTATTCGAACGATTTTTCCTTAGTAGAAAAATTCACTAGGGAAATACAAGATTTTTTTATTCTGAAAGAATGATAAAAAAAAAAGAATTAAAAAGCGAACTGTTTTGGAAGTAAAAAAGTAGCAAATGCTTAAAGGTACTATTTCGAAGGCACGCAATTGTAATCGTGTACGATTCTGAATCATCACCTTGAAATAGTGCATTTGAAAGGAATCAACATTTTATCTTAATTAACTTTAATAAATCTTATCTTAATTCAATCGTATTTTGACATGAACGACTCTTTAAGATTCAATCCGACTTTGGACAAAGACAGCCTAGTATCAAATTCAAAATTTCAGATCGCAATTCAACTCTTTCTCATCAAAATTCTGATCAAAAATTCACTCACAAAAAGTCCATAGGTGGACATGAAATTTAGTTTTTTGTTTCAAATTTTGAATTGTTTTGGTTTGTGTAGTTTCCTTCTCCAAGGCCGCAAAAATGAATATCAAAACAAAGTTTAGTGAGTAAAACCATTGATAATAGCTTTTGATATTCAGATTCCATTTGCCATTGCTTTCGGATGAATAATCAAGTTTTTTCATTACAATGACCATATTTGGAATGAATTCATGAAGCTCAATCATCATACAATGTCCCTTTCCAAAGAGCAACGATCATTCTGTTTTTTTCCCCCAACAATATCGCTGTTGATTGAAAAGTATATCGTGAGAATAAAAATGTGTATTTCAAAAAATTACCAGAAAATAGAAGACTTGAAATTGTAAGCTTGAAAAGCTGAGAATAAACTCCAGATTTTATCGATATATTTGCAAGAGCGGGACTTGCCTGAGCTAAAAAAGGCATTTGATTACGTAAATACGACCATTCAGTTCAATTTAAAATCGTTCGAGTGTGGTAAACTTCAGTTTCTTTGTGTTGATCATTGTCTTTGTTGAATTCGTCAACAGAAAACGTTAAGTTTCCTTTGAATTTTCGTCTGCTTATTCGAATAAAACTTGTTAGTACCTCTTAGTCGGTTTCAACTTGTATTCAGTCTCAGTCACTCTCCACCGTGAACTCGTGCATTTTTATAAATTCACCAACTTGTTTCATCTTCTCGTCCAAATAGATCATGAATTCAATGAAAAAGGTTTTCTACTGGATTCTTTTCGCGGCCAAAGTACCACAAGAGCCAGTGTCGGCACCGTTTTACCTATTGGATGCTGATTGTTTTGACAAGATTTTCGAGTGGTTGTCATTGGAGGACTTACAATCGCTGAGCACTGTGTCTAAACGTGTACAACGAGAGGTTGGTCGTTATTTCCAGCAAAACTATTCAGGAGTCAATGTATACTGCACCCGAGACAGAGATGGTCTCACAGCCTTTGTTTCCGTTTCGATGAATGGTTTCAGTGAATACATCGAAAAGTTGACCGTTTCAGATGGTGATTTCCAGAATTTCATCTTCATTTCACAATATTGCATATCGCTGAAGGAGATCCACTTCGTCCATACTACATTAACTACCCGCAAAATAAGGTGTATCAAAAAGGTGCTCGAAAAAATCGAAACGTTAAACATAAACGGTGGAAAAATCAATGGTGATTTCAATAGTTTGATGCTTAAACATTGTCCAAATTTGAAACGTCTCTTCATTCAAAACATCAAAATCAAATCTAGATTCGACAGTGTAAACGATTGGCTATTGAAAGAGTACCCGAATTTGGAGTATTTGGAGCTACTTGGCTACAAAAATCTAAGAATGAGTGAGATTAAGAGATTTTTTACGTTGAACTCAAATATTCGAAGCTTTTCAATCAACGCTCATTTGATTGACCTATTTTCGATTGGACTCAAGGAAATGGACATCAGTTTAGATGACCTTACGGTTCTAATTGATCACAATGAACGTAAAATGATGAGTTCGATTTGTAGTGTATTGAATACGCTGCATGAACATGGTTTTTATAAGCGATTGCATTTGAGAAGTAATGAAATTTGCTTCTTTTGTAACCAATATTTCTATCATTTGGGTTCACTTCGGGCACTCGAATCACTGAACTGTGAACATCTGTTTGCGCCCATCACAAGTAATGACTTATTTCCATTGATTAGTGTCACAAAAGTGGAAATCTTCAGCTCGGAATGCTGCGTAAAAACTTCGATCTTGGCAAAAGATCTCATCAATTTGGAACGCATCACTTTTACATATGCTAAGCTTGATCACATACTACCACTCATTTTTTTCGCATCGAATTTAAAGGAAATCACCTTGAAGAAAGGCATTCGTGCTGGCACCCATATTATACCTCTACCCATGCTCAACAAACGACGCGCTAGTCTAGTCAATGCTTGCAAAATAACCTTTTTCGTCAACTGCAAAATGTATATGGACACGAAGACAAATATCGGCAGAACAAACTTCGATTTCATTGAATTAACACGAATATGATTTTGAACATACTCAGAACTCTTCACAGTTTTTTTTTTCTATTTCTACGTCAATTGCTTGAGTAATATACTTGATTAATTCATTATATTGAAAACAAACATGCACAATAGCCCATTTATAGTCTTGTTATAAGAAAATTAATAAAGTTCAGCATTAAAAGATATTTACTACTCGTCTGTTTTGGACTATATTGGATCGAAATCTGAAAGCATTGAAATACAGTTGACTGGAATGATTCGAAATGGATCGTTCTGATACAGTTGATAATTGCGATACCAAAGGACAAAATCGAATTGGTGTGGTGGATGATTCAATTGTGAATTTTGAGAAGTTTCGAAGAAGTTGGCTTACACATCGTTTCGAATCCTTGATTTTATCCACATTTCTCCTTCGCCTTAAATCCATTCGTTAAGCCGATTTCCCTGTTGGGCGTCCGCTCCAAGTAAAGACACAATCGACATTCTCCACCTAATATTCGTCCTTTCTATCAGTTCCCCATTTTTAACACTGTTTGGCTGTTTTTAAACAGCTTTTTATTGCTGAGCTTTTCATATTCAAAGCAAACAGTGAATTTTATGCGCCTCCACTTAGAACATCCGTTTGAACAATTCTGTTTCTTGAACGAGTATGAATTTGATTTCGGCACCACAACAGCCGTTTCAAATAAACTTGAAGCAGATTTGTTCAAAGTTTAAATTTCAAATATCATTAAAAATGCCAGAAGGACGCCCCAAGAACGTTTAAAGCGTTCAAAAGGAAGTAAAAACTGTTTTAGAAAAAGGTGAAGAATGTGGAAATGAAACTCATTATAATGAGTTATACTACTGTGTCCAAAAAGTAAGGTGACATTGCATTTAAAATTTAGCGCGCTGGGGAATTTGAAAAAATCCTTTTATTTTTAGGTTGGTAGGACTGTCTTTGACATCCCTGCCAAATTACACGTCAAAATATTCATTAGTGTTTGAGATACGCTTCGTTTTGTGGACTGCTAAAAGTGAATTTCTCGTTTTTTGCGATGTCGAAATTTGTTGATCAAAGAATTTGCATTAAATTTTGTTTGCGGAATCAATTTTCTGCTGCGGATTCGTTGAGGATGGTGCAGAAAGCCTTTGGTGATGAGGCTATGTCGAAAAAAAATGTTTACAAGTGGTATAGTGAGTTCCAAGCAGGCCGTGAATGTGTCGAAGACGAAGAGCGTGCTGGGCGACCATCAACCTCAACCGACGAAGCTCACGTCCAAAAAATTAAAGATTTGGTGTTGGAAAACCGTCGATTAACGATTAGAGACCTTGCTGATGATATTGGCATATCGAAAGGCTCAGTCAATACAATTTTGAAGGATGTTTTGGGCCTCAAACGCGTCAAATCTCGACTGGTACCGAAATCATTGAATTTTTTGGAAAAAGGGTGTCGAGTTGACGTGTGTGAAACAATGCTTTCTGACTACATTGACAAGACGAAATGCATGATCACTGGAGACGAGACTTGGATCTATGCTTACGACCCGGAAACAACCGACCAATCGAGCGAATATCGTGCCAAAGGTGAGCCGAGACCAAAAAAACCGCGCCAAAGTCGCTCAAAAATCAAGGTCATGTTGACTGTTTTCTTCGATTATCGGGGTGTTGTGCATTATGAGTTCCTTCCCCCGGGTCAAACAGTCAACAAGGAATATTATTTGAGTGTTATGCGTCGTTTGCGTAACGCTATCCGCCAAAAGAGGCCGGAATTGTGGAAAGACAACTCTTGGTTTTTGCACCATGATAATGCATCGTCTCACAATGCGATCATTCTTCGTGAACATTTCGCCAAAAACTCGACTCATATCGTTCCACAACCACCGTATTCACCTGATTTGGCACCGTGCGACTTCTGGCTGTTCAACAAGCTCAAAAGACCGCTCCGGGGACACCGTTTTGAGACGATAGAGCAGATTGAAGCCGCAGCGAAGACGGAGCTGAGGGCCATCCCTGAAGTCGACTTTTTCAACTGTTTCGAAGATTGGAAAATCCGTTGGCATAAGTGCATTGTATCGGGAGGGGATTACTTTGAAGGCGATGAAATTGATTTGGAAGAATAAATAAAGAATTTTCAAAATAAATGCAATGTCACCTTACTTTTTGGACACAGTAGTACATCAAATGTTCAGGTGAATTTATTTTCTTTGATTTTCGAGCATATTTTTCTTCTTCTCAATAATCCTTCTTCATTTCATGGGAAAGTTATAGGGAAAGAAAATTGAACATCTTAAAAATGATGAGTTGCAAAATGTTGACAACAAATCAAAATAAACAAAATTGTAAGCATGTGAAATATGAGATGGGAAAAAATGAAATTTTTCCTCTTCTTCTATTCATTTTTTTTTATTATTCATTTTCTTCTTATGCTTTGAATGACATCATCTTCGTCCGCTTTTTTTTTCAATCTAAAATAATGAATCAAATTGAATTCAATTCAATCAATTCAAAACGTCCCATAACTCAAAAGCGCACTTTCGGTGTTTAACTCATGCTACGTTGCTCCATTGAAATCAAACAAGTCGTTGGAATTGCGAACGCAACATTGAACGTGTTGTGAACGGTAATAGTAAGAATACAGAAAAACACCCGCGCCTCTTCCATGTATCGAAATGCGTGTAAGTAGATGTGTGAATGTTGGATGTTGTTCGCGAAAACCAGTTTGTCTGGCGAAACGGAGCGCGATGGTGCCACAACGAAAATGTCGATGAGAAAATGGTGTGTGTGTGTGTATATATGTTCAAGCGATAGATTAAATCACCACCAATACATTGGCAGAGTATGAGTGAGAGGGAGAGTGGCTCTAAATGAAATGGAAAATGGTATGTCTTCGGTATTGCCTAGCTCTCTGTTGCAAATGTACACAAACACCTGCGCGCGAGAAAAAAGTTTCACTTTTTTTTTAATGTTAGCTGATACGCGCGCCATTCTCACATGTGTTTAGCCGTACAAAACGGTATCTCTTTGGGCTATTTGAGTCCATGCTTACGACACATTGCTGTGTGCAAACATGGATTCAGATCATTTTTCCTTCTTCTGATGTGGATTGTCAAAATGGAAATTGCTATCGTGTGTACACAGAACGCCTAACAGTCATTTCCCGCTGTGTGTATGCGTGCATGTATGTATTATCCATTTGTCTCGTTCACACGCTGCCTACATGCTGGAGTTATATGTATTCGCGGGTGGTTAAGAGCGAGAGCAAAATTGTGCTCCGTTTTTGGTGTGGTTCCAAATTTTAACAGTGTAACAATACTGTGTGCATGTGGCGGCGTGTGTGTATGCATCAAAGTTGTAGGAGTTGAGACGACCGAATCCGTTTGCAAAAATTTTTAACTCAACCGCACAATCACCAACACACACACATACACACATCATGCACAATGAAATTGGTTGGACATTTCATCAGAAATCAGTTTCGATAACTGCCTCTACTCGTTCGTATCGTTCGTGTGCTCTGTGTGTCTCGGGGAGTGCGCGCCTTGTTCCATGTGTTGTTTCATGAACAACTACAATTGAAGGCGAAAGCGACGACGAAGAAGAGAAGAACGAAAAGAAGAAAAAAAAAATCCGTTTCACTTCTCTTTTTTTTTCCCTTCTCTCACTCTTTTCTTCGTTTTTTCCAACTATTTTCCTGCCTGAACGTGAACAATATTCCTTAATCACTTTTTATTCGGGTTTCAAAACTGACTTTTCCAACATTTCGCACCGTCCACGAAAGAAACACACACAAAAGAACAAGAAAAATTGGAAGAAAAAAGAACTGCAGACGTTGATTTAAAGAAATAAATAAAATAAATCGCATTGCAAAAAGTAACGACGAAGAAAAAAAAAATTGAAATTCGGAGGACATTTAAAAAGTGGATTTTAATGGATTTAAACACAAAGTGAAAAAAAAGTGGTTTAGTTTTTTTTCATTTCGAAAAAGCCTTAAGTAAATACCGTGATGACTCAGTGGTTGCGCTGTCCAATCGGTCTCTCAAATGATTTCGCTTCGGGATTATAATACACTATTTTCTCTGCCTTTCGCCCCGTCTCTATTCAGTGTTGGCATGATTTCTGCACTTTTTCTGTTGATTCGAAATCAAAATTGATTGACCGAACTTTGAAACGAAAACCGAATAAAAGATTTTCGTAATAAAAATAGTCTTTTGTCTAAAGAGGACATTCCGAGGGACACTCGGAAATTCAGCCAGTTAAATTTGTGTGTGTTTGAAATGTGTAAGGATTGTGATAAATTTTATAAGATTCGTCGGAAAAATGTGTTGTGTGTCTAAAATGGCCGAGTCGCATCGATATCAATATCGCGATTGTGATTACATCAAAGGTCATTGAATCGGATTGGAAAAAAAAAAACCGAATGAACCGAGATTTTCTGTTCAATGTGTTTGTGTGAGTGTGTGTGTGGTTTTTTTTCATTCCTTCTCGTCAAAATCGTGTGAAGTACACCACTTGAGTCGCCCGAATTTTCCAATGAAAATCAATTGGCAAAGCCAAAGCAAAGTGCTATCCGTCATAAAACAAACAACAACCCGAGAATCAATCGAATGTACATATATATACATATATACATAGAGAGTGGACTGATATGAATCGAATCGCCCCCACATTCAACTCAATTGATGTATGTTGCAACAATAGCGAGCATTCATTTTCAGCACGCTAAAGTCAGCAGCAGCAGCAGCAGCAGCAGAAACAGCAGCAAAACAGCAAACGACGCGAATCAAGCAACCATTTCAAACAATCAATAAAATTTGATTAAATGTGTTGTCCGTTTGATGTGAGAAAAAGCACATAACTTCTCATACACACGAAATCGAATCGGCCGCCACCATACCACCACCACCACCACCACCACCACCATCGCTCATCGTCGTCGTCGTCACGAGCGAAAACGGAGTCGAAAGAAAAAACGGCACATACACATCTGTGTATGAGAGAGAGAGAGGATAAATATCATATGAAAATAATGTAATGGAATGGAAACACTTTCCATCGCAATTTTTTTTTTTCGTTCGTTCGTTCGTTGTGTTTGATGGAACAACGCGCGCGAACCAAATGAAATAATGTGTGTATGTGTAACGAAACGACTTTTACCGTGTAAAAATATTGATGAAAACAAAACACATCATTAACAAATCACAACACGAAACAAAACAAAAGTTAAACCGACGAAAATTTGAACGAGCCAAAAATTGAAGCAAAAAACCAAACCTTTAAACGAAGTAAGAATAAAGTCAAACCAAAAACCATTAGAACGAAGCAACAAAAAACAAACTCATCGACAGAAAAAAAAAGGTTGAACTAAACAAAAAAAAAAAACACAAACGTAACGTAAATTATTGAAACGAAAGAGAGACGAAAAAAAAATAGAAACACGTCAAAATTCCCAATTGAGTGAATAGACAAAGAGCAATAGACACGGCTGCAGACACGGTGTTTTAAAAGGGAAAGTGGTGTGTTGTTAATTTCTCCGTTCTGTTGCCTCATTGTAAAGAGGTTGTGTGCGAGCATTGCACACACGGGGCATAATTATGTAATTCGGGACGAGGAGACAGTAAAATAGCGAGAGACATAGCGAGAACGACAGCAAAAAAAAGGAAGCGATAAGATTGATAAAAACCGTTCATCCCTCGCTCAAGCGAAAAACCTAACCGAAAGAAGTACACACGCGAAAAGCTATCAGCAGAAAGCCGAACGAGGAAGAAATACAGCGTGAGCGAGAGAGAGAGAGAGAGAAGAAAGCGCGTATTCGTTGTCGTGCCGAAAGAGATCTGTTAGTTCGCACACGGACGTGTGCATCTGTGTAGGTGTGAGTGTGCCGTTGGAAAAACTATCCATCTCAAACACATGCACATGTACCGAAAAAGAGACGCGTTGGTGTGCGTGTGTGTGTGTGTATGCGAAAATAAATGTTCACATGCTGATTTCCAAACACGAGACAACCGACGAGAGAGCAACACCGAAAAAATAACCTGTACACATTTTGAATCTGTCTGTGGCGTGCGGTGCGTTGATTACATTAGTGTGAGTTTACATTAATCACACACTGTGGATCTGAACACCGAGACAACAACAAAAATCTACAGAACTTTTGTGACTTTGTCGTTTTTTTTTCCGTGCGCCCATATTCGTTCATTAAACCGAAGAAAAAAAAATACTCGCGCTACGAGCAGTAAAAAAGCGAATCAGCGTTGGTGTGTGTATGTGTAATACACACTTGTAAGTGATTTAACCCACGCTGTGTCATCTCTTGAATTCAACACGCTTCGCGTGAAAATTACATGGATCACAAGCTCGAGAGAGTTTGTCCGGTCATGGTGTTGTTACATCAAACAGACGCTGTTTCCACGTTGTCTGCTGTGCACGTCGATTAAAAACGAGGTGGTCCATTCATCTTTGTGCCTCATCACAAAACGAGCCAACGACGGATTCACGCGTTCAACAAATCATCCCGTTGATTCCTCTGGCATTGTTATACCAAACACGCTGCAGTAGTAGTAGCAGCAGCCTGAAGCCAATTTCTTTTGCCGTCATTCAAATGGATGAATCGCTTCGCGTGCAAGATAAGCAATTCCAAAAGTAAATCGACAGTGAAATTGAAAACGTCAAAAGAGCGAACGAACAAACAAAAAAGAACGAAAGAAAAAATAAAATTACCTGCAATTTGATAGTTATCTCTGTAAATGCAATATCGACGACGACGCCGAAGAAGACGAAGAGATTCCGTGCGAAGAGACGAAACCTTATGTGTGTGTGTGTGTGTATGAATATTAAGTGAATGACTAGCACCATGATAAGTGGCAGTTCAGAGCAATTGCTCGAACAACAACAGCAAGAACTACGTAATCGTAAGCTCAAGGAATTGGTACCAAAAAAGAAGCCGGCTCAAGTGAAAAAGGTGTCGTGGCGTGAACGTGCCGCATTTTATGCTACATCAACGTTGGCATTTCTCTCGGTGACAGCCGGTGCATCGTTGTTATTTTTAGTGCCATTATATGTGGATCCGGCCATATCAACGCTCACCTCTGATTTTATTGAAAATCCAACGTGGTGCACAACAACACGACGCGACGATGTGATCGGTCTGATGAATTGCTCGTGGAGTTCATGCCGTGAAGGATGCACCTCGGATCTATATCGTTGCACTCACATTTATGTGAAATATATCATTGAAACGAGCAATGAAACGCTCTTTTCAAATTTATCCACCGCAATAACGGCATCCATTGATAATGATATGCAGCAGGCACGCACACTCATGCAAACCGCTTCACATACAATTAGCAATATAACTGATATCGTACATTCGGATGAAGCAATTTTACTTGTTAATATCAAAGGATGCGGCTATCCGCCCACGGTTATGTGTAAGAATTTTTCCGATTTATATGGCGAAGAGGGTACCGTATTCCCATGCTATTATTCACGCACCAATCGTACACTTGTCATGACCGCATACAATCAAGCCGATCAATGGTCAATGATTATCAATTTCTTTTTTGTGCCATTCGTCATCACCGTCATATCGTCGATGGGCCTTTGCTTTATGCATTGTGATTGTAGTTGCCAAAAAGAACGAAGTCCACAGCAACGGCAACGACAACGTGAACGCGAAAGATGCGGCGAACGCACAGCCGACGATCGACACTTTTGTAGGCGGCCACGTTTGGACAATTTAAGGTAAAAGCATTTCTTGTTTGTTTTTTTTTTACTGACACCACGATCCGGTAGCAAAAACCAAAAATACATTGATTCATATGGACACTGAATGTACAGAATGTGACAAAAGCGAAACTAGTGAAAATATTCATGAACTAACATGTAATCACAAAGTTTCTAGCTTAATTGCATTGAAAAACACAACAACAACGCCTGAAAGTAGTCAAAATTGCAAGTTTCAATCATTTAAACATGAATAAACATGTAAAGCACGTACACATTTCTGTAACGTAAAAAGTCTCATGCTATCGGATCGTAACTGACACCTTTCGAATTTCGACGAATTTATTTTCGGCTTTAAGCGCAGGGTTTTCGCCGTTCAGCTCTCTCTTTTTCACATATTTTATTCATTTTCTTTCATTCGAACCTGCTTTTTTTCTCTTTTTTCGTTATTTTCTCGAATTTTTCGCTTTCTCACGCACTGTTTCGTGTTCTTCCTTTTTTTAGATCTATTTTTTCATGTTTCTCTTTCCTTTTCTTTTTTTCATTTCTTTTTCATTCTTTTTTTTTATTTCCCATTTTGAAGACATCAAGTTTTTTTGTTCTTTTTTCTCTTCTCTCGTACCTAATTACGTGCCCCTTCCTTCTCTTTTTTTTCATCTCATGCCTTAAGTTGCTGTTGTTTGCCACTTTCTTAAAACAACAAACAAATTAATTAAGGCCATCAGGTTAATCGGCTCTTGTTCATGTTTTTTTTTTTCAATGATAAAATTTATAATAACAACCGTCAAGTACAACAGTTCCTCGTCTTCTTAATTAGGCGCAAAAAAGGCAAACAAGCGTCAATCCCGTTTTGCATGTTTCAATACGTGACTTTGTCGCTTAATTAGTCAGTTGTGAGAAAATGACCAGTTTTTACTTCCCGTCGTCATCGTCATCAACATCTTCATCGTCGTCGTTATTCACGCGCACGATTTTCAAATTGAATTCCAGCCAACTAATTGGCACAGCCAATTTTCGCCAATTTACAGTTTTTGTAATACATAATTTTCGAAGCAATTTTCTTCTCTCGTCACACGAATAAACACATTTTTCTTCTTCCTTTTTTGTGTGGTTCTGTCGTTCATTTCGTTGCCATTTCCATGCTCATTTCAGTCTTCAAGTACACAAATTGAGCCACTTGAGCGCGTTTGCTTGCTTCACGCGTGCAAATATTTCCGCTTTCAATGAAAACAAATTCCAATTGGGTTTGCATTTCGTGTGTGTGTGTGTGTGTGTGTGTGAGCGAACTGTTGTTTCCGCTTTTGTGCAAATGAAAGTCAGCCGAAGGAATTTACTTTGAAAAGTTTGCGTTTTTTCTCCTCGGCCTTTTTTTCTCGCTATATCAAAGATTGTCCATTACAAGTTCATTAATGCAAATCTGATGGAAAGTTCAGTGAAACGCAATTGTGTGGCGAGAGGAAGAGGCGAAGCGGTGAAAGGGAGTAAGAAATAGAAGAAAAAGACGAAATATTGTAGAAAGACATAATAATTCAAAAGCCAAAACGAAAATAAAGCTAATGTAACCAAGAGAAGTTTGCAGCCAAAAACGAACTGTGTAAACGGGAAAAAAGTGGCAAGAAAAACTAACCACAAAAGCCACAAAAAAGGAAGGAAACTAATATAAAACCGAAAACAGGCTGGCAAAACCGAGCAAAAGAAAGAAGAAAACCGCAAATTGAACGAGAAATAATGTGAGAAAGAAGAACGAAAATCTCAAGAAAATGACAGAGAAACAGAGAGAGAAATAGAGTGAACAATGTCAAAAAACTGTGAAAATGCCGAGGCGCAACGAAAGAGCACAATGCAAATGGATTGGCCTTCTCCAATGAGACAGAATGAGAAACGGGATTTTTCGTTTGCAACTTTTTTTCTTCGCTTCATTTCAAATTAATTATGCACATGCAATGTCACAGGCAGCCTGTGCTTGGGATTTATGAGAGGTTTTCGTGGCACTCGCTTACTCACATACACACCGCCCGCTCCGTCCCTCGATGCAAACCGATTAAATTTTATGTGACACGAAATGAATTACTTTGTAAAGCAGCAACTTGCATGTCTCTATTTCCCAAGTGAAATTCGCCGTGCTTCATTTTCAACGTTTATCACTGTCGCTGTCGCCGCCGCCTCCCCTTCGGTCACCGTGTATAGGGATTGAAAATTCCGTTGATGATGGAAATGCAAACTGCCTGCCAATGTTATTCAAATGAATTTCCTCGCAGCAAAACTCAGTGCAACATTTGTTTAGACTCAGTTGACCTGTTTGAATTTTGAGATAGAGAATTAGATGGATTTCAAATGATCGAGAGCTTTTGCATGTTGAGAAAGGGACGGAAGGTAATGGGAAGTGGGTGAAAAATGTGGGAGAGGGAAAGTGCAAGAGGTTTGAAACGAGGAGTTGAAAGCTAGAACGAGAAAACGAGAGAATGGAATCGAGAGTGGGATAGGACAGCGGAAAAAAGACAATAGAATAGCAGCGAAGAGAAAAGAGAGGAAATGAAAAAGGGAAGGAGAGAACAAAGGACAGAGAAAAAGCTGGAATAGAAAAGCGTAACGTTAGAATACAGCGCAGAGAGAAAGAGAGAGAGAGAGAGAGTATCTGAAGAGCGATGAGAGGATATTTAGAGGAAAAGCAAGAGAATAATCAGAAAAACAATTGAAAAAAGACAAAAAGAGGACATGGAAGTGGAAAACTAAAGAGAAAAGCTGACAAGGATTTAAAGTTTTAAGCAATGAATAGGAATAGTACGGAATTTGGAAAGTTTGCAGTAGAAAATATTGGAAAAACAATTAAATTAGGTGATAAAAACAGTGTTAGCGATCATAAAGAGTGAGGCAGATAAGGGAAAAGAGTGAAATTTACGATCTTTCGACGAAAAATGTAAAAAAGGTTGAATTTAAATCTAAAGCCAATGGAGGAAAAGATAAAAAGACGAAAAATGAGATCAGAAAAAATGAAAATAGGTGGAAGAGAGATAAAAATGAGACAAGAAGAGAAAAAAAGGGACAAAAACTCAAAAAAGGAGGAAAAAAAGACAAAAGTTTTGAAAATCGACGGCAGAATCGAAGTGAATAAGAGATCGCAAATAGTGGAGAAACTAGCGCAGTCAAAATGAGACAAAAATGCCCCGAGTGCATGCAATAGGCAAGCTAAAAAGGCCATCCGTTCTATCATAAAAGAGCATGCATTGTGTACACTAGCTACAGGCATGTTGCAGTGCATGCTGATTAATGTGCAAAAAGAGAGCGAAAAAAAAGAATTAAAAATTAAAATGCACATTCAAAATGCAAATGAATGTATTCTTAACAAGGCCCCACCGCATCGAGAGCTCATTTGGATGAGCGCTCACACAGTGCATTTCCTGCTAATGTCCGTCGGCCAAAATACAGACAATAGAATATGTGAACCACCACCACATACCCACACATGAGCGAGAACTAGTGGAAAATGTATATCTCGATGCACATGTTGAAAAGCATAAACTGTTGTTGCAAAGTGGAACGGAATGAGTAATGGGCCCAAATGCACTTAATTGGTCAGGCTGTTCCAGCCACATTTATTATTATGAAAGAGCGCACAATTTGCGCGATAAATTTCAATAATAAGTGGATCGTTTGCACGTACGATGAAAAATCACAGCAACGAGCCTCTCTCGTTCGCTCTGTCTCGAACTTGAAGTGGCATACAAAGTGGCAGTGTTGTATATTTAGAAGTAGCGCGAGCGCCTGTTGGGCAATAAAAAGAGATGAACAGGTAAACACATGTTTCACGTGTTCTCGCGCTATTTTTCGGTGGGATGAATATATGGGCACAGTGTCTCCGCCTGTCCGAACCGAAAGGAAGCCCATAAATTTGCAGTTCCGGTAGCGGAAGTGATCCATCGCATTTGTGTCATTGAATCGAACGTGACATTGGCATTTTGCAATTCTTTTTTGTTCTTATTCTGCTACTGCTGCGGCTGATTTTTGTTGCTCGTCTGTTTTTGTAGTTGTGAGAAACTGGACGAATGTTGTAAAAACATGCATTGCTTGCTTAATTGCAATTCGGTGTCAATTAAAGTCGGTATTCAAGGCTATATTTGGTGGCGGTTTTTATGACGAATGGAAATTTCGACACAAAAATGAAACGACGACAACGACTCAGATGAGACATTCGACCGCAAAATGGCAAACGAATCATGGATGGAATTGAGTGAAGGGATAGAAAGAGTGAGGAAGATTGAGAGTGAAACAGAGCAAGAGACAGACAGAGACAGACAGAGAGAGAGAGAGAGAGAGAGAGAGAGAGAGAGAGAGAGAGAGAGAGAGAGAGAGAGAGAGAGACTGTTGGCAATGCGCATTGAAAATAGGTCAGTTTTTGCATTCAAATAGGTGGGCGGGATGCAGATAGCATTTAAACAAACATAGTATAACCGAAGAAGAAGAGCAAAAAACGGAGAGATATGATAGCATCATCACAGTTTGTGTCTGTCACTCATTCATGATGTTGTGGTTGTGTGACACAGAAATCGATGCATTTCGCAATTTCAATCTAATGAACAGTACAAAAGTGACATATTTTACGTTTTACAGCGACAGCAGCAGCTGTAGTTTGCTCGAGGGGGCTATTGTGCCTGTGTGGATGTGTATATGTGTAAGTGAAGGCAAATGCATCAAAATGCGGTGATATAATTAATTGAATTTTAAGTGGGATGTAAGCATTATGACATCTACTCTCCGCATTTCACGCTATCTCACCTAGGGGGATTTCACTCTATGCGAATACTGCTATTCGTACGAATGCGCGAATACTTTGCCATGCATTTGAATATAAACACTCGCAAATACTGATATTCGTGCCGAATATTCGCATTCGTACGAATAACCATTTAATGTATCTATACGGCGCATTAGCAAATACGTCCGAATATTGCTGCGCGAATGCGAATGCACTTGACAGATCTATATTGATTTGTTGTGTTAATCGTTGCGACTACATTGTTTACATTAGTTCACCAAAATGGTAAATAGTTATTTCGATACAAATTTAATATCAATTTAAGTTGTGTTTTGTATTTTAGGGACTGGAAAATGTTATTTTCAAATTAGAAAAATATTTGAATGTAAAAATTTCGGCCTATATTATTAAAATCCTGGAATTCTGTGCATTTGAAAATGAATCATCTCTAATGTCCATTGACAACGATGCTATTATGGATATCGAGAACTATGTCATTGAAAACCCAGAAATTCTCAAAGAAACATCATACGAGAATGTGAATCATTTTAAATTTAAACCGGGTCACCGATTGCTTATCATCCAGTTGCCACAGTTAATCAAGAATTGTAATCAAACGGAAACAAATTTGCAAAAAATCGGACACCTGCGACCGCAAATGCTTGTATTCAACGTAGCTAATGCGCTTTCTGTATTAAATCCAGAATGTGTGAGAATTAATTGTAAAATTTCTGGTAGAGATTCACCTAATGCACGTTGTAATTTTTCAAACACGTCTGACATCTTTCCACATGTTTGACTGTGTTTGACACTTCATCGCAACTGAGCGCATTCGCGACGAATACATGTGCGAGTGTTTCAATACGTTTCATATGCGGAGTCGCGCGAATGCTCGCGCGGCAGTACGAATACATGGTGCGAATGCAAATACTTATACTGTTTTTTGCGAATGCAGGATTCGTACACGAATGATCATGTATTCGAATGCGAGTGAAATGCCCCTAGTATCTCACTCTCTCGATCTCCCTCGGCCATTCGCACACAATGCCACACAATTAAATCATATTTGTCGACGATTTAATTGCCGTTTCGCAAACACTTTTGCCTCGTTTCCCTCTCCCGACACCCGTGACGACGATGACGAAGGCAAAATCACATTCACCCAAGTTTTACATTGTCTCTCTGGCGAAACAAAACCTTCAAAATCTAATTAGATGCCGGAACTATGGCGTATGTGTGTGTGTGTAACTCGCGGGCGTACGTAATGCGCCAGGTGCCTTTTTCATATTCAATTAACTCAATATCACCATCATTGTCTTGCTACTTCGCCACAGCTACTTCGCTACCACCGCACGGTGACATGCTCGTGAATTTCTCCGAACGACCCATAAATCCCTCACTCACTCATTCTACCATTTTTCATACTTAATGAGCCAGCTTGTCAATCATCATTTTCCAACCGTAGCACAAACAGCCGCCAGCATAAAATACCCCAACCCAAATCAGCCCGAATCGGATTACAAGCGAAAAAGCGACTTGATTAAAAATAGTTTGTCTGTTTTTTGTTTTTCCGTTTTTTTTTGCCATAATAATTTTCCATGCGCGCGACTCGCTTCGAAAATATCATGTCCTTTTCAATGAAGATTTTCTAGTCATTCTCTCTCTCTCTCCATGCCGTTGGCCGCATTTCACAATTCAACGCCACCATTTATCTTTCCGACATTTCGCCTCATTTTCGATTCGAAATATGTAATGCCATATATCTGTATAACCACTTTCCATACAATATTGCAGAAAATGATATCGCTCCAGTTCAACCTCACTCCTTCCGTTTTCAAAGTCTCTTTTTCTCTCTCTCTCTCTCTCTCTCTCTCTCTATCTCTCTCTCTCTCTCTCTCTCTCGTTTAATGTGAACTCTCTGACTCCCTCGCCTGTGTTTCACTTCTTCGGCCATTCTTAATTCCTTCTTCTCACTCTATTTCAAACTTTCTCTCTCTCTCTCTCTCTTTCTATCTATCTCTTTATGAGGAAGCTTCTTTCTTGCGACTTGCGGCAAATGAGGCAACAACACCATAGCGTGCTTTCCGGCAAAACGGAAGCAAAGCATTTATGCAAACATCGTGTTGAATGAAATAGATAAGACCGAGAAGCGCAATGAATGATGTTCAATGCAAATTCGCTATATTCTATTCTTCATCAATATTTCTTGCTGCCTCACATTGAAAATCAGTCGCATAATTTAACGATGGATTTTTCCCACACTCCTCATACTTTAACTCATTTCGAACGTTGTTCATTCGCATCTGATTTTTTTTTCTTCAACATTCACATCTGCTCTTTTTCCGTGACTTTTAACCAGTAAAATGTGGGAACCATTTTTCTACAGCTTTTTTTCTAGCTCTATTTTTCAAGATGGCATTTTCTCTGATTATCCACATCTTGAGACAGCTTTTCCTTGAGATTTTCCCGTTTTGAGACGGTTTTTCTACTTCTTTGGACGTTTTTTATACTTCTCAAGCATTTTTTTTTTTCATTACTCCTCCGGTGTCTTAAGAGTCACACACATATAGTTAGATTTTTTCCATCATTTTTATAGACATTTTCCATCTTGATGCATTTCATTTCGCAACTTTTTTTCTTCCATCTTTAGTTCATTCTTTCAATGTATGGCACAGAGACAATTTTTTTCATTTCGTTCCGCTATCTTACCGATTTTCATCTCAATCTGCTTTTTTTTTAAATTTCAAACTGTTATGTTTTACTTTTCCGTACGCCCATTTCGTGTGTAAAAATATTGCAATTACTCCAAAATGCAGATGTTGAAATAGACGTTTTATGATGGAAACGTTCACTCCATCGGTTTTCCTTCTACTTCTGGTTCTTTGTCGGTTTTAGTCAATTATCTTTCATATACACTACTGGCGCTTTGGCTACGGTACAATCAACTCCATGCGCTACTCCTGTTTTGCTCTATTTAATTCGATACAAAATGTGTGTCAATAGGGGATGTGCAATGTTTATCGGATTACTTACCACCACAAATGTACTGGTCATTGCAGGTGTTGAATCTGATGGATTGATATTAATTAGATTCGGTTTGATGAATCTAATGACATTCATCGTTCTGATGCTGCTCATCTGTCATCCATTTTTAAATGACCCGTGATTTCATTATGTCATTTGATATAGTAGTTCTTTAGATAGAGTAAGGTAATAAGATAAGTAAGATATAGTAGGTTCTTTAGATTCACTAGTTCTAATAATAATGTTCGCCCGCAATGGCATCATTGCTTTGCCAAACGTTACCTTTTCCGCTTCTCACCACTAACAAACGTCTATTTCATGGAGAAGGACTCGATTGAATAAATGAAATTTTGGCTTTTTGGACCAATATTGTCTACATCGGCTCAAAAATCATAGATAAAATTGAAAAACAATACAATTGAGAAATTGATTTCTAGAAGTACCCAACGTTAAAATATTGGAGAATACTCATTGCTCTATTGGTCTGGTCTTAAAGTGGTGTTTCATCAAAACATCTGATAGCAGAAATTAAAAATTTGCTCCTTTTTGCTATATCTCAAAAGTGAAGCACCAATATATGCCCAATCATTTCAGACAACAGTGCGGAAAAGTTCGTCTTACATCAAGATTTCGTCATTATTTTTTTTTTTAAATTTTGAACGTGTTTTTGCTGATTTTCTACTTCGATTCTCGAAATCAAAGGTGTAAGTGAGCGTTTTTCTCATTTCCACTCATTTTTTTCGATTCTGAAGTTGAATCTTTGGTTGTTTTTTTATTATAAATCATTTTTTCGACTTTCTTCATTTCAAGTTACTTTTGGTTGACTTTTTCTCTCGCTTTAAATCATATCCTTACGACACTTTTTCTCGTGTTCGCGAATCTTTGTGTAACTGATCAGGTTTTTTCCTAGGGGGATTTAACTACGTGAAAACTTGTAAAAAAATGATATAAACGCGCACGAAATTGTTACATTCACCAGAGAACTTGCATGATTCCACTCAGTTGACAAGTTCCGTATTAAAACAACATGCGCGAACGCGCGCGAGTTCGTGTGCAAACTTGTAGCTGGACGACGCGCACACATCAGTCGTTCCATTTATTATATCTGGATTAACTTTTTCTTCAACACTTTCTCCAGCTCTTTAAAAATATTTCCTTTGTCCATTTTATAATTATATAAATCTTTGAACTTTTGGAAAGGATGTGAAAAATCTTTATACACGTAAACAACCGATTTTTAGCTTGAAACGCGTTTTAATTGTCAAATAACAACTTGAAAAACGCGCAAAACCATAAACAAACTTGTGTAAACTTGTGACCGTGCGCGTCAGTACGTACAAGGAACGCGTCGAACTCCCGCGAATCAAGCAAACTGGCAAAAAACATGCTGAACTCGTAAGAGTTAAATTCCCCTAGGTTTTTTCTCCAATCCACCATCCATTTCTGTTAAGTCGAGAAGGGTGTTTTTACGTATAAGTTCAAAAGGGATAAAAACTATTCCATAGAACTTGAGGTATGGCATAAGTTTTCCGCTTGTATTTGCACAAAATGTTTGCTGCCATTTTAAAATTTGTCTTTTGCCGAGCAAATGTTTCAATACAACAAATGCTATTTTTATCAAAAGTTTTTTCTCTTCCTCTTTCAAAACAAATAACTCATTTTTAATTTCTATTTCCATTCTCTCTGTTTTCACAGTGATTCATCGATATCAACGCGAGTAGATATGCTAACACCTGCAGTTGAAGTGTATAAACCGCCGCTCTGACATAAGGACGAAACGGTCGAAAGTAATTTAGGCATCGTAGTACCATCGACAAGCAGCGAACTATAAAATCGCGATATAAACTCAAAATTGGCTCGAAATAACACAGCAACAACCAAATAAAATGACGAGAACTCTCCATCCAAAAAAAAAGTCCATAATACACTCAACAAACACTGTTTTATCTTTATCTCGCACACACTTTCAAACTTAGCAACGCACCAACGCCCAACGAGATGACTGGCGTACGAGCAGAAATAAATTCCCGATAGATAGAGAAATGGAGTGAGTTGAATGAGAGCAACAAATTCCGTTCGGTTCAATGTGATTTTGGTGTGTGTGTGTGTGTGTGTGTGTGCGTGTGTTTGGTCTTAATCGCACGATAGCGATATTTGCCGTCATTTGGATTAAGGGTTTTGCGTCGGATTGAAATGAAAATTCCATTTTTAAGCGTCGTTATTGCCATTTATGAGCGAGTAATCTGGTGCTTTAATCTCTTCGGATAGCCGAACGCTTCTGTCGGAAACTCGAGAACTTTTTCCGAAACCCATGCCATCATGTCATTACATCAATGGCATCCACAGCAAAAAAGCATCGGAGCGAAACCGAATGAGAGAGTTTTTGGATATGAAACTGAAGAAAATTTGGATGAATCCAGAATGAAAATTCAATTAAACATGGGAAAGTAACATAATCGTATTATACATTAGGTCTGTAGTAAATAAGGTCTCCAAGATGAAATTACACACATACGCATCGTACGGATCCCATCAACCGGATCGGCCGTGTGTGACGATAGCGAAAGCAATTAACCGGAATAAATTGATTCCAATCACATTTTCACCCGAGAAAAAAATTAATGTAGCGATAAAGAAATGTCGACACTTCGGTTCAATCGGTATGATTGGGTGACGTACGTGCGGGCATATTCATTTCACCAAACACCATGTTTTAAATTAATGAAAAAAAAATGAAATCACTCTTGAGAAAATAAAGAGCCACGCGCACGGTTTTACTTGAAAAAAGAAACAACAAAATTAGATACATATATCCATTTAAAAGAGTAACAAATTTATCACGGAATTTTAAGTGTTTAAGCGAAAAACAGAGCAACATATTATTTGTGTGCAAAATTTATGGTGACGATGAATTCCGACCGCCGTTCCTTGACTCTCAGTCACAGCTTACCAGATGGAATTCCAAACACTCTCGACAGTCAAAGCGACAAAACGATGAAAAGTGGAATTGAATTAAGCCACAGGAATTAGCTAACATTAAAGAAAAAATTTATGTTAAGCATCGCTTGAATCTCGACTTAGTTAAAATCACTTGCAACTCGATTTTCGTCGAAATCGCCTAAAACCCCAGCTCATTTGACTGTGCGAGTTGAGAGAGAGAGTGAGACGCGGTTGGGTCATTCGTTGCCGCTGGCATCAAATCAGTTATTGAAATTGTTCTTCTGTATTCCAGCACACATACACAACAAAACAAGTCCCGCATCCACGACGCGGACGCAACAGCGAAATTTGTTATTATAGACGCATTTGGTTAAGTTTATTAACAATAAAAAAAACAAAATTAAATTTAAAAAAAAAACAATGTTAGAGCATGAGCGTGTGTTTGGTATTGACAGTAGGTATATTCAGTGAATATTTTTTCTATTCACGTTGCCGTCGTCGCGTGCATACGACAAAAGGCACGGCTGTTTTGTTTGAATTTGTTATTTAGGCTACATTGTTGCCATTAAGCAGCTATATATTTTTTGTATAAAAATGAACTCACACAGAGATATTTAAAAAAAAAAAAATTGTTGATTTTCGTTATGAAACAAAACATTTTCTTATGACAAAATTGTTCAACAACAACAGCAACTGCAACTAGTACTAAATGTATCGAGCGATTTAAATTAAGCCCAATATCCGTTGGCAAATTGATAGTCAAGACCAAATTGTGTGTATACAAATTTAAAAAAAGAATCGAGTCAAAACAAATTATGGATCGAATAAAAAGAAGAGTCGACATGAAATCGAATGCAGTCAAAACAAAATCGATTGTGGAAGAAAAAAAATGGTTCGAAATGAGTCGTTTTAAGTGACGGCGACGATAACATTCGAAACGAATTTCAGTGTATGGATTCAATGTGAGAGGACAAAATAAAAACATCGAGTCGAAACGTAATCAAATGAGGGGAAAATAGCTATTCATTCCGAAACGATGGCATTTTTTTGTGTCTGAAACAATGACAATTGTTGAAGAAAAAAAAAACATTTAAATTGAAAAAATGCCATCAACCGGGGACAAAAATTGCAATGAAAAGCGGCGGGCAATGCAATAGCCATTATGCGAACGTGATAAATGTGAGCCGTTATTAAGTGGGAATTATTGGATCAAATCGCCCCAAAACCCAAATGAATCATAATATGAGTAAGCGTGCGGCGGAGCGCGTGGTCGCGGTGGTATTGAATTGACAACCAATTTTCACTTTATCGCGACATATCAAATGGAAAATTGCTCCCTGCCACCTTCACCACCCCACCACAAACATTGAAAAATACAAACAAATCGATCGAATGATTTTCCACCAACCATCATACATACACTCGCTATTTGGTGCTATGTGTATGTGCTTGTATCGAGCGTCGATAAAATCATACAATGCTCACAGCCAAAATATGGATGAGTTTGCATTAATTATTCACACCGCGGCTAATTTCCGTATATGGAACACTGATGGTGCTTGTATGTGTGTTTGTGATGAACACACGCACGACCAAAGACTTTGCAATCGGTAATCGTGCACATATTTCATGTGTCATTGATTCAAAAGTTTGACGAATTTATCGTCATGGATTTGCATTGGATGAATACGTGATTGTCGATTTAATTCGTTCTCTATCCAGCTCACTTTGTCCATTCGTTCTCTATCCCGTTCACTCTAAAGTGATGGGTAGCAAACAATTGGTGGTGTATTATTGAGACCAAACTATGAAAACAATGGTCTTTTTCTGTATTGAGTTCCTATTTTTTCATTCTCAACCATCCACTGTCGCTGTGTGCGTGTGTGTCTCTGTCTCAATTATTGACAACCAAATGGTTTCGGCAGTTGACACAATTCGTCTACCAAACGAATAAAATATGCAATGTGTTGCAATTCGAACAACAGTTCATAACACGCTCTGCGAACAACACACACACACAAAGAGAGATGGAGCTGAAAAGAAAAAAAAAACATCAAATATTTAAACAAGCTTATATCCTCGTTCCTCGAACCAACGACGTTCCACATGGTCACTTTTTTGACTCTTTCGTTCTTACCCTTTTTTTTCCCCCATCTATCGACGGATGAAGAAGACGAAGGAAAAAAACGCTCTTTTTTTGTACACAATTGTGAGTTACGTTTTTTTTGGGGTTTAAATGTTAGACCTCAAGTGTCACGCGATCCATTTTCTATCGACTTGACTCAATGAATTTCAATTCCTGTACCCGTCTCTCACATCGCACACACACACGACTCCAGTTTTTTTTACCAGCCGTATGTGGGTGTGTGTGAATTGGATGGGCTATTTTAATTTAGTGCATATCAATGAAATGCAATTTAAAAAAAACACCCTTTTTGTCCGGAACTTCGACCCTTCGCAATATAAAACACAAACAACCGTCGACCTCGGGGTTCAGTTTCAAAAACCAATTTCATTTTAATATTATATAGAAGAAAAAAACTGATCAAACGCACACAACAAAGAGAGAAAAAAATAACAAAAAAAAAGAGAATTTTTAGTACATTCACCAAAAAAAAAAAGAAAACACAAACACTCACACACTTTTGCTGAATTTACAACACATTTTCATCCTTTTACACTGACTCGCTAGAGAATTTTTGTGCTTCTAAAAAAAAAGAGTCATTTTCTACACTTCAGCGAATCGAACGCAGTGCAGTCTAGAGGAAAATTATAATGCACAGTGAATATTTAAAAAAAAAAACGTATTAGAATGCTTTGCTACTCAAAACAACAAAAAAAAACCATCGACAAACGAACACAACAACAAAAAAAAGTTTATTTGAACTTTTTTCTATGTAATCAAAATACAAAAAAAAACAGAAAACCCATTAAAGACATAGCAATTTAGGACTATTAAGTGAATGTGATTTGAAAGTGTCTGTTGTTTTGTTCCATTTCTGCGGCATTTTCGTTTGTTACCGCGCTTGGGTGGAACTGATGAAATTGTACACGCTCCTTTTTTGCTTGGAGCTTGGACTAATGAGAGAAAATAAATCAAGCACACCGAAAAGTATTCACGAAAGAATGCTTACAATTTTGATTGATTTTTTTTTTCGCTTTCTTTCAAGACTAAAGAAAACAGTGGCGCTATAGCAATTTCATTAACGAAATTTAACTCAATGGAATTTCAAAGAGATGAATTTTTTTGGTGAGCGATGAGAATTTCAAAGAACTTGATCTTTTAACGGATGAGAATTTCAACGAATTTATCGGAAGACAGCACACATTTTCAATGAGCCACATTGAAAACATTTCAAGATATTTTGAGGGAATTTAGCGAGAAACAATGAAGGCATTTCGTGGAATTTATTCATAATAAGTCAATACAATTAGATTTTTGGTAGCATTTTCGAGCTTCGCTCGCAAGCTCATGCTAAATTATTTGATTTACGCTTGAAGAAGATGACGCTTGGAGAATTAAGCCACACATTTTGTTCTAGAACGTTTATGAAATGGCGCGGGAATGATGGTGTATAGATGAAGCTCGATGTGAAATTGAAAGCATGTGAAAAGAGGAGAGGAAAAGTGAGAAGAAAAGAGGAAGTAGGAGAAGGAAAAGAAGATGACGAAAGATAAAGAATAAGAATAAGAACAAGACCAAAAAGAACGAAAATAAGTAAAATGAAAAATTCAAAGACGAAGATAGTGAAAAGAAGGAGAGAAGAATACGATCAAGTAGAAATTAAAAGCAAAGGATGATTTAGAAAATGCGGTTTGAACAAATAGAAGATGAATAACAAGAAAAAGAAATGAATTAACAGAATAGGAATGGCTATTAAAAATGATAGAAAACGACGGAAAAATAACAAGAACGACGAGAAAAAAAACACAAAAAAGAACGTGAAAATGAAGAATAATAAGGAAAAAGCAAAGAAAAAATTCCAATAAATCCGAATAAAGAAACCAAGAATGTCGAATTGATGCTTTGCCACAAACATTCGGCAAAATTGAGTCTTTAATAAAGACATTTTTTTATTGATATTTACTTGGATTCCGATGGGATTTCAACAGATTTTCTCATGATTCCGACACTAAAATGGAACACATCAATCAGGAATCACCATTAAATGTACGCAAAATCCCTGGAATCACCATCAAATGTACGAATCTTTGGAATAACCATCAAACATACAAACAAAGTCGATAGTAAATTGAGTCGTTATTGCAAAAAGAAAAGGATTTTCTTCTACGCTGTCATTTTGTTTTCATTTTAAAATGCGAATAATGTTCAAAAGCTTCACTTTCTGTAAAAAGATGTTCTTCGATTTTCTGTTTTCCATTTTCTTTATTTTTTTTTTTGTCGTCTATCTGATGTTCTTCTTGAAGCAATATTTATTCGTCATCTAATTTTTTATTCTTTCCTTCTCGTTCTGTCTTCCTTCTCACACGTATTTCTTGTGCACAGACTTTTTCCCTCATCCCATCTTCTGTGGAAAGTTTTCCCTCGTTTCATGCACCAATTCACGCAGAAGTCCAACTCATTTGTTATTCTGTGCAAGACGTCTTCTGTGCTAAAAGAAACTGTTTCCCTCTTTCCCTGTCACTATTTCCCTCTTTCTCTGTCAAATTCGAAAGTTTTCATCATTGAAAAGTGAGCAATTCAATAAGTAAAGGAAAAGAAAAACTTTAGACGACAAAAAAAAAGTACGAAAAATTCGGCACTAAATGCAATAATAAAACTGGCCATAAAAATGCAAGCCACTATGATATATTCGAATAAAATGAAACAAAATCCATCTTCATCTCTTGTCGAACCCCGAAAGAGTTATCCAACTTCCTCGAGCCTCCAGCAAAAATGGTCCTTTCCTCCCGCAAACAAATCAACAAACAGAAGAAAAAAAACACTCAACAAAAACTAACAAAGAGAGACAAGAGAGAATTTAAATTGAAAGTATATAGACATATTTTTATGGTATTATTGAGCCTGTATCGGCCAACCCCAACAAAATCAAACTGGACAAACGAACGAACAAACAAACAAAAAAAAAGCTCTAGAAAAAAAAAGAAATTTATTGAACGAACATTGTGCGAATGACAATATTAAATACAAAAAGAAAAAGCAACCAAAATGGGTTGAAAATGATGATTAGTAGAAATGAAGAAAGAAAAAAATAAACACACACAGAAGAAGAATATTTAATGAAAGCGAAAGAGAAATAGAAAAAATATTTTATTGTTTGTTACATGGAAATTGCCCGAATAATATAATAAAATTATTTATGGAACTATACACACAAAGCATGTATAATGGGAATTTAGCTGAGCCAGAAACGTAGTACTATATATGAACAAAACCAGAGAGATATGAAAAAGCTATATTTAAAACTATTTATGACTAGGCGAACAATGGAAATTATAAAAAAATTAAGGTAAAAAAAATGTGTAAACACAAAAACAAACAAACAAGACACATAGGATGGAGATGGAGTGGCCACTCGCATGCGCGTCGCATCCAGAGATACCATAGAACACCGCAAAAGAAAATAACATTCAAATTTATGAAGTGTAAAATCGGTGTTTTTCAATTGAGAATAGACATAATCGGTGCGGTGCGTGCGGTGATTTGTGTGAATTTATGTCTCTGGTTGCCTCGTTTGGCTCGCACCACACTTAAATATTATACATATATATATTTATTAGCGACGTAACCAATGAATGAATATATTTTGCAAGGTTAAGAACAGGCTTCTATATAAATAAATATATATATATTTTCGGTTGGAATGTGATAGGAATTTATTTTGAGCAATATATAAAACAGAACAGAACAGAACAGAACAAAAAAAAACAAATATATCAAATTTTGTAGAATTGGGCCATGCCTATAGTTGGTTTGCATGCAGCTGCGGTAAAAGAGCAAACAAAAAAGAAACTGGCAAATAAAAAAAAAGTATTTTATGTCGTGTATAGAATGTTTATGGCATGCTTCTTATGTGGTATTGGCCCAAGTAGGACTCGAGGGGCTTTGATCTCATGAATAAGGAATTTTCACTCTCTTTTGACGTGGGCAACAACTGGTGCTCGGATGCTTTTGTGCTTTGAATTTTGTGTGCGCGGTCGTGTGTGGTCATTTCATGCAAGGTAAACGAAGGGAACATACATCGTATTGTATCGATGATAAATACAGTTTTGGCAAAACTCTAAGCTTTGCTCTCTCTCTCTCTCTCTCTCTCTCTCTTCATTCATCTGGCAAAATATTCCGGCTCGAAAATGGGAAAACACCATCGAAATTCCCGTCATCGGCTTAAGAAAACATTTACTTTTTCAACGTAAACATCAAACATGACCGATTTTTCTGCTCGAATACGGTCGCTAATTCTCCACCACATCACACATTCACGTTTTGAATTAATGCAACGAAACCGACGGCCTAAACAATTTTTCGGCGGTTTTACAATTTTACCGGTTTGTACTCGCTCGGTTTTTGGTGTGCATGCAGTCGCCCGTGTTTGATAGGCAGGGAGGGAGGGCGAATATGAAAGCAATGGAGAACAATTGAGCAGGAGAGGGTAGAAGAAGCGAGGGAGGTATAGACGGAAGTAAAGAGAAGAGGACAAGAGAAACCGGGGGAAATAGAATCGAAAGCAATAAAGAATGTAAACAAAAGAGAGGTAAAGCAATACTGAGCGATGGAGAAAAAGCGACAGTAAGAGAGTTCGAAAGCACACAAAAACAAGGAAGTAAGAGAGTGAAAGGGCGAGCTGGAATTCAAAAGTATTCAAAAAAAGCGATCCCATGACCAATAGAGCGAGAAACCATAAAACTGTCCAGCTAATTTAATTACCGCTTGAAAATTTACTGCCGCATGTTTCGACGCACACACAAGCAATACACATAGCTTTTCAATGCCAAACAACCACGTCAAATTCAAAGCAGAAACCAGCATCCCAAACTCTATGTTCCTTCGAATGAGAGAAAAACAAAACAAAACAGGAAATGATTCAAAAAATGAAAAAGAAAACTCCGTTGGCTAACTAATCTAAGTTTAATGTGCACGAATTTTCTTCGTTTGATGGCAAACATAAACCAAATCCGTTGACATGAAATCCATTCGAATTATTTACTACTGACAACAAAAACAACAACAAAAAGCAACCCTCACTCACCCAGAGTTCCGAAATGTAGTTTACAATATGCATTCAAATTACAGTTAAATATATATATAAATTTAAATGGCTAAAGAGAAAAACCAAATCGAAATGTGCGTTCGATTGGATGAGCATCGGTCAATCCAATGGTCATCGAATCGAACGATACATACGCTGAATATTATATGAGACAAAAACAACAACAACAACAAAAATCGAATTTTATGATATGTAAATTGTGAACATAAAAAAAAGAAACAACTGGCCAAGTCTTTTGGTGAATATTAAAATGAAACTATGGAATAAAATGGTGTTTTCATTTCCCAAACAATAGCTCAACAATGTTATCAGTTGGAATAGGTCGAACGCTACAACACACCGGCGCACGGTAAGTAATTGAGTTCGAGGTAGAATAGCAAGACAAAAAAAAACTCTCAATCGAATTGACCATCTGATGATCATGATTATTCTGCTCCGTTACATTCATTTACATTTGGCTTTTATTTGGTGTGTGTGTGTGTATTTGTGCTCCTGTGCTCCATTTTCGTGATTCAAATCTGCATGATTCAATTACATACGGTATCCGACACTTTACTCGCTTAAATCGATAGATTCAATTAACTGATTGAATCGAACTATACACGCGTCATGACACACACACATGCACAAACACATTTTTCTCCAGCTACGCTCACTCTAATGAAAGCTTTTTTGTACAGAATTATGAGTTATTAATTGTCATTCGACCAATTCCATTAGGAATAAACGATGGTTATCGGGAGACATGTACCACAAAAATTGAATCGCTAATTTTACAGAATCGAATTACAAGCGATAAACAAAAAAACTTATTATGAATATTGGTTCGAGGCTGATAGATCACGGTATTGTGATGCGGACTTGTGAAGATTTCGAGAAAAATTCACTGTTATGAACGTATCGACATGTAAATTTAAGTGTATATGGACGTACTGAAGTGTAAATCTTCATTGAGTTGAAACTTTTTAACGCATCTCTGAGAAATGTCAGTTGAAACCACAATTGAGTTACACTCAAAAGTAACTCAACCCCTTTGACCTAAATTTAAATGATTCGAAATACATGAATTGCATGCGGAAATTTAGCACATACAATTTGTAAGCTGCAAACAGAAACCTCAAAGGCCACAA